AGAAGAACACCTGCCAAAGAGAATCCCAAATTAAAATGCCGCACATAGGATAGCAAAACAGGAAATTCAGAAATGTAGCGATGCCCTGTTCAGTGCAGAACTCATTTTAGGTGTGAGGAGACGCCGTAAAATCATCATTTTACCAAAATTACCATTTTATCTGGGTTATGTTATACATTATTTTTTTTGGATCATCATTAATATAAGCAGCCCCCACCCTCTGTGTGTATGCCTATCATACGCTCTCCGTGCCTACGTGGCGCTCCTCCAACCTTCTCCCATGATGCACTGCGGTGACCCAGCCGCCCTTCAGCAGACGATGTGCCCGGGACAAACCTTCCCAGGATGGGCTCCCTGTCAACACAAGCCTCACCACAGGGCCAAAGGATGAATGGATGGACAGAAACTATCAAATACAAGAAACAATGCAAAGCAGGCAAAACTTTTGTTATAAATGTGAAACCTTCTATTACATCAGAACCTACTGAATGGAAGAACAAAGTAGAAGGGGGAGTGAACTAGCAATTAAAACACAAAGGTAGCCGGTTTCAATGACATGGCAGGAAAAAAGGAATGCTGTGTCATATTTAAGGCGTCTCATTTTACTGGTGATATAGACTAAAACTATGTTTGGCAGATGCTCATCCAATGTGTTAAATACACATGATCCAATTTTATGTGTTAAGTACAGCCTGCTCAACATTGTAGAGCTTTTCTAATCACTCAGACGTTTTCAAAATAAAATCTGCATTCTTGTATCTTTTATAAAATGAATTTTTCCACATTAACAAAACTGTTAGTGATGTGAAAAAGACACATCATTCACATGGAAAAAAAACAGCATTAGATCCAGAGGAAAGTAGTAACTTCAGTGTAAATGTCTCAACAATCTAATAGCTAGAATTGTATGTTTATACTGAAGACCGAAAATAAACCATCATTAGTTTGCAGTTTCACCAGCGTGCCATTTAAAAAACAACCAGAATGCTGGCTTTTTACACAACAGCATAGAAGGACATACTGACTATTTAAAGGTAGCAAACTCTCAACATAAAAAAACAAAACAGAAACTCGTTTTAAAGTCACTGATGCAATGCTTTAAACACTTCTGCAATGCGAGATTTTATTAGGTACCAGAGTGTCTCAGACCTGTACAGGTTGTTCTGTCACTGATCCAACATCACCGTAGCCTGACATGCTTTGATCAAAGATTTCAGCAGAACAAATACAACACAACACAGAATCCCAACGCAGGCTAACAGATTAGCAGAGGGATATACTGATTAATGACATGCATCAAATGACACGTTTGACAGTTGTTTTTTTTTTTTTAATTTAGAACTGCAATCAAAAAAAAGAACAGAATATAATTATTAAGTTTTATTGCCTTGATTTTTCTCCAATGTACCATGTTTACCTTACTGGACGCATTGCTTACTGCCAACAATGCAACTGTTGCTTGATAAATATTTTTGGTTAAATAAACTAAATACCCAAGTCAAGTGATTTTACAAACATTGTACAGACCATCTAAACCCTGAGGATCCACTGACTATGTTTCGATTGGAACAGGCTGAAAGGCCTCAACGAGGCGGCGTATCATTGGCCAGTTTCAGTGCGCTGTCCCTAGGCCACCATCCAATGACCAGATTCATACCAACCAAGCCAACATTAAAGCAGCTACCGGCTGATGACTACATTTTCCCAAGGGAAGCATCCTGCTCTCTTTCGTCTTGCACTATAGAGTTCAGTTATGGTTCTAAAAGAAAAATGCAGCATAAATAACTGGTCTCTTTTAGCCTCTAAGCTAAAAATTGAACGTACGATTGTTTACATCCCGAAAAAACAGGATCATCTGTGCGTGCACATATGACATGGCAGCCATAGTACTTCTAGGATGATTACCCTTAACCCTTAAAAAATAGTGAGGAGTCAGTTTATTAAGTGCAATTCAGCAATTTGACACATTTTTATCAGCACTATGTTGAAAGGGGCTGTGGCTCAGATGGTTAGTGCTCTGAGTCTGTGGTCAGAAGGTGCTTGGTTTGAATCCCGTGCTCAGCAGAACAGTCAAGCCAATGGGCCCTTGACCCCCCCCCCCTAGGGACACTGGAAAAATGGCTGACCCAGCTCTCAAACCTCAAGCTTTGCTCTCACCTGTGTGTGTGTCTCAAAGGAGAGCATGGAGTACCTGAAAAAGGCATTCTAATGTACGTGTGTGCAGATAGAGCATCATTTCATTTTAGTGAGAAAAATTACAGAATACTACTGAGTCCTCAGGCCACAAACGGCACCCAACGACAGGCATGACTAATTCCAAAGATGAATGGGTGTCGCTTTTGTGGTGCAGGTGTCATAGATGGATGTCCCAGGGCAAGCGGTCTAATGCATCCACCCGTGTTCCGGTTCCTTTACGGGCCCAGCAAAGCACCTTGAGGAACCGCCCACCCTCACCCTGCCAGTTCAGCTTACGGTGCCAAAGCCCCACCCCATCCCATGTCGACCTTGCAACCCATGCAAAGCGTATCGAGTCACATCACCGCCCCCCCCTCCCTGTGATGTGCAGCGCAGGCAGACAGACCGGCAGAATTCAATACAGTCATCAGCTTGGACAACAGCAAAGAAAGGGCAGAGCTGAATTCTGTAAAACTACAGCAAAACACAACATAATAAAATACAAGCATGGAATTCCGCCCCCAGGACAGTAAGGTGTAAATGACAAACTACACTAATAAGAATATTTATTAAAAGCTGTAGATTCAAGTCAAGCCACAGACAAGGGCCTCACCTGTCTGGGAAAAACTTCTACAATATATGTGACTGATGCAATTACAGTGAAGAACCAGAGTGGAGAACTTTCCGTGTCCCTTTAAGGACTGCAGGGCATCCAGGTTTACATTTCAAATTAACCATGGAAATGACTCAATTAAATCAGACTGAAAAGAAGCTAAAATACCTCGAGGATGTGAACAGACAAAGACGAGACCAGTTTTTTGGCTAAACTGTGTTCATTCAGGACAAAAATTCCCCTGCTTTATCTCAAAAACAAACCACAGCTCTAAAGTGCAGACGGGATTGAAGACCACTGTTTACAGCAGTATGGGAGATGGACAACATCTGGTCGTCCGTGCACTGGAAGGTACAGAGATTTTGGGAAAATGTAATCATCATGCTCTCTTTCGTCTTGCACTATAGAGTTCAGTCATGGTTCTAAAAGAAAAATGTAGCATAAATAACTGGTCTCTTTTAGCCTCTAAGCTAAAAATTGAATGTATGATTGCTTACATCAGGAAAAAAACAGGATCATCTGTGCATGCACATATGACATGGCGGCAAAGTCATCGATAACCAGTGTCTATTGAAGACTGCAGATGAATGAACCCACAATGGTGCCACTTCCATTACAAGGGAAGCAGCTCAAACTGGCCAAAAAGAACCGGATGATAGTTTGTTGCTCATGTAAATCCCATTTATAATGGGACTATAAATTTATGTGCTTCTTGGGATTTGAACCCAGGACCTTTGTGTTGTTACAGCAATGGGATTTGGACTAGTTAAGCTACAGGAGAACAGAATTCTGGGAAATCACATAACTGCACACGGGATCACAATCAACCATAATGCCTTTGGCTTGGAAGGCGTGTAATCAACTAGACATCCAATGTTCTTTGGTAGGTTGTGTCATTTATTTTCTCTTCCTTATGTAAAAACACAGCCAAAGGAGATTTCCATTCTGTTCTTATTTTACCACATCTTAAGTGCATATCTGAGCAGACTAAGTTTATCACACTTATTCATTTATTGTTGCCGGACAGACACGAATCAGGGCATGAATAACTGTAGGAGAAATCTTAATTCCAGCACATCTTCACCAAGTAAACACAGTGGGTTACAAAGAGTGCCACAAATCCAAATTAATGTTGGTACAAATGTCTTTGTGCACCAGGTCATCCTGTACCTTGCACTCTACACTTCTTGGGACAGATTCGCTATAGTATGGATGGATGGATGGATGGATATACGGTTATACTCCCAAGGGAAGCAGAATTATAGTACAAGCACTGCTGAAGTACTGGGTTAGCCTCAACGTGATTATATGGCAAACATTCATTTGTAAAATGAGCAAAAAAATGGCGGTGTGTGAGCCTTCAGACATACCAACCTATTAATTAAACTGCTGGATATTAAGCGGAAAACTCACTAAGGTAGCCAAGAATTTCTGATATCAGGTTAAACACTTGCTTTAATTAAGAGATGCCACAGAAATAATAGATAATGGAATAATAGATAATAATCCATTATTGGTGCATAAGGAGACACTGTACTTGAAACATTTCCAGTTAATACAGTGGAGCTCAGTGGCAGTGTGAGTTTGGCACAGTGGGGTCGCTTAAAGCCCCCGTTTCCAGGACGTGCATTGCACTCTGTCCTGCATGCAGGTAGGACGTCACCCGCACCTGCATTAATAGACACAAAACGACGTAAAAAATAATAATAAAATAAAATAAAAAAGCAACTGCCAAGGCGCCACGCGGATACAGCGCCCGCACGCACGATATTATGCGACATCAACGGCAAGCGAGAGGAGGAAACAGGCCAACCCTGAGCGCGGATACCCTTTCTTGTGGGGAATACATCAGCTGGAAAAGACGATCAACCAACCCCCAAAAAACCCCATAAAACTCATCCATGCCCAATACCCATCCCCCCCACAGAAATCCCAATATTGCCGGCCATATCCATGATTACCGTCAAAGCCCGTGATCACTACAGTGATCTCTACAGAAGGTCATTTAGCAGATTCCCCCCCCCCAAGGAGGTGACTTAAGGTCCAAATGGACGAATTTTCCTGCACAAGGTGGAGGGGGGGCGGTACAGTCTCCAGATTTTACGGTGCAACTGTTACCCCAGCACAGCATACGGCTGCGCCCCCCGGGGAAGGGACTGCAGCAGCCCCGGAATCCAAATGCAAGCATTATACTTTTTAATAACAATCTTACCCCAATCGAGAAACTCGAGCACGTTCTTCTCCCTGCGGAGCGGCGAGTTGCTGCATTCATCGTAGAGGCAGACAAGGACGTCGAGGAGCGTCTCCACGCTGCAGCACTGCCCGGCGCTCTGAACCGGCCCGTCCAGGAGCAGTTTCTCCAGCTTCTTCAGGCGCACCTCTCCCGACATGGCTGCCAAACTTAAACAGGACACCTCTACTCTTTTAATTTAAAAAGAACGATCGAGGGGGGAAAAACCCTAACGTTGAAACACAAAAAAGTGCATCTGGTTCCAGCTCGGGACCCTTTCACGCCGGGCAACAATGTAGCCAAGCCTGCTACCTAACGCGGACCATGACTCCCCCTTTTTTAATCATAAAGCGTTAAAAAAACGACCAACTTTGCCAGCAAACTACATCTTCAGAAGCGGGCTGGGGGGCAGGTAGCCTGCCAGGTGAGGCAGGCTAACAATCCGTCATTTTATTCATGAGAGTCGGCTGTCTTAATTCCTGCTCCCCTTAGGACAGACCGGGGACGGGGAAATGCAGACCCCGCTCCGGCCGGCCGCTTCCACTTTACCCCGCCAGCAGTCTCTTATCCTTTTTATATCTCCCCTTGATAAAGATCGCAAATGACAATCCGATCGTTTTCCACCCTGCTAATCGCTTAAAACCCCAAAAACAAACACAGCAGGCTGGCGACCAAAGCAGATCCGGGCTCACACTAAAACCATCATCCGCAGTCGTACAGCCCCGAAAGCCCCTCCTCTGACCAGCTGAGGGAAACGTCTCCCCCTTTTTTATAATCCCATTTTTAATTTCTGTCCATCCGCCAGGCTCTTCTTTAAGAACGCAGAAGGGGAATATTGTCCTCTTTATGCACGGATCATAACGATCTGTTAGTTCCTTTTATTTTTTTTATCCCGAGTGCCTCCGCGCCTGACAGGGTGCTGCCGGTGCCTCCAGACCCCGGTGCTTCTCCCCGCCGCCTCGCCGGCCTCCTCCGGTCGCACTTAAAGCTTCTGGTGGCAACAAGCGCAAAAAAAGAAAAAAAAAATCCCAGTTCAATATGGCGGCCGGCTGAATGACTGCTGCTCATTGCGGGGAATGCAGGGATACTGGTGGGATGGTTCAGCTTCTGAATGGGAATATGTGGGAATTGCGTCGCCGGCCATGAATAAAAGTCCGATTCACCTGAAACCCACCATATCAGACCGCTCACATGTCCAGACATGTTCGGAGTTATTATTAAGGAAAAAAGATATATTAATTGACGACTCGATTTTCTTACAAGTTTTATTTCGTTCCCTTTTCAGATCAATACAAATAATTAGGCAACATATTACATTTGAATATGATATGTTTATTCTTTTGCTCTTTTGGTCACGTCGTGACCCTGTAGTTACAATCGCCAAAAGGTGCCGTGTAAATAGTTTAATCTTTATTTACATGCTACATACAGCTTAGTAAACCTTGAAATTTTCGGGAAGATACTGAAGTGTTGAAAGAACAGGATAACATTTAATGTATAGGTACCAGAGTAGATATGCACGGAGTGTGAATTGTCTTGGTTGTGGTACTTTTATTTAGCCCCGTGCGCTTCTAATGTTGGATGGATTCTAGATAAATTAGATTCTGAAAGTGACAAAAGTGGTGATCATTGCTAATGACACAGAGATTTGACTTTAGTTTAATGTTGCCAACAGCTCAAACAGGTGGGGACTAGAGGCTGAGCTGGAAGGCAGACAGGCGGGAACAATACAGACCAGTGCAACGCTGATTTATCTTTAAAATATATAAGATGAAATTCACATCAATCAAGAATTTTATCAGTGAAAAGCTTTGCTTACTTTTTAATGGTTACCAAAATACCATGTTACCAAAACTAGTTTTTGAAGTTGGTTAAAAAAAAAATTCTAAGAGAATAGCTGTAATCTTCAATCGGTCACGGCCAATCTACTTATATTATTTAATTTTACTTGGAAAAAACCTGGAGTAAACGTAAATGTTTGGCGTTTTTACTTGCCATCATACGCCCTCTTGTGTTAAAACGCTGAAGCTATTTTTAAAGTAAATCGCGAGACATTTGAGACGCTCATTTGTGACGCCGCCGACAGACTGGAAGGACACTAAACATCTGGCAGAATTCGGCAAAATATGCAAATAAGCTTCCCAATTTTAAGTGTAGGCTGTAACACTTTTCCAGTCTATTGTTTCTATATATCGGATTAAGCAAGTGTGAAGAGTGTTTTTTTAAAGAAACACAGTGTTTGTATTTTGAAAGTGCTTTGCAAAGCACTCGTAGTAAGGAATTTCTCAAACTATAATTAAATGGCTTGTGGTGAACTTGTAGCTGCTTGGAGATCTTCAGTAAGTGAGCAAGCCTTCAGCCTGGATTTCATTGTTGCATAACTATCTTATGGGAAGCATGCAATTTTAACAGCAACACACTACACATGCATAAAAAACGGTCTGTAAGAAATATTTACATGGTTATTGTATATTATCATTATACCACGTTTTAACATATTAAAAACCGAATTCGGTATAATCACACTAGTACATGCTAAAATCAACAATATTCCAAAACCAACAGATAGATATACGACACAGAGGAAAAGGTAAAGAGAAAATGCAGGGGAAAATAATGGTAGAAATGTAGCAAGAAACGGAATCGATCGTCACATTGAACTATAAAATTTATAAATAGACACTTTGCTAGACGCAAGGATGTCTAAAAAAAGTAGCAAACCAAGGCATGTCTTCCCCTGCTGGTCGTTTTTGGGAATTACAGGCATCCCCCAGGTTACGGAGGAGATCCTCCCTATGTCTGTCTTTAAGTGTGATTTGTAGGTAAGTCGGAACAGTAATAAAGCCCTGTACCCCGAGCGACACAAAGTACTGCGTGCTTTCATCATTACGAACCATTGTATAACTAATTTTTTATATAATAGTCTTTTGGGCAGCTCGTTTGTAAGTACAAGTTGCCCTTAAGTCGGACGTTCTTAACCCGGGGACTGCCTGTATGCAAACAGTTGGTGATTCTTTGGTTGAATGATTAATAGATAACACTTTATTGTTCCTTTGGGCGAAATTTCAATAATCCAGTGGCCTTGACATACAGAAAGCAGGATATATAATACATACAAAGTAAAAATACAGAATAAATAAACATATCAAGATTAAAAATACGAACCAAAACGTATCCATCCAACCATTTATCCAATCATAATAATAAGCACCAGCTACATTATATAGGCCTAATGGATTTTAATTCCTCATAATCATTTGAGTGAAGTCTAGCTTACTTTACCTTTCAGTCTCTACTTTTAAAACCGTGATTTATGTTTCCATTCTGCTTCTGTTTTTCAGCAGGTAAACATCTGCACAGTATGAGGCATCTTTCACGCCAGTCATGGTGTCTTCTGGCTGCTCTTCGAGGCCCTCAGCAGCATCGCATGGACCTACTTTGCTCAAACTCGCTGTAACGACTCCGTGGCAGTTGTAACACTTGGGCTAACAAGGTGATAATCACCTTTTTAATCTCGAAATATTTTAGATAAAGTTGAATGCCACAAGGCATTCTTTTGGCATGAAGACTTTGGGGCAGAGCAGAAATAAGGACGATGTAACCCTGGTAAGCATGTTAACGGCCCTTTGCCGTTTAATCGCTGAAAGCTTTTATTGTTACAACACTTGCAAAACACAAATAGTTTATCATGTCATTTCTTTTAACAATTTTCCAGATCTGTCTCATGGCTTCTAAGAAAAAGATCATGTAGTCTTCAGTACCATCACCACAGAACACCACGTATCTAACATCTCACTCTGGACAGGGTCATGAGGTATTTAAATGATTAGAAGTAGTTTAATGCTATTGGGGGAAAAAGCCTTTATATAAAATGCAAACACACCGTTTTTGCCCATACTAGGGTGTCTAAAATTTAAATCCTTTAATTTTCCACGAGGACAACAAGGCTGAGACCTGCCTTAAGAGTGGCCAGTTTTGTGATGCAGATCTGAAATATTCATTAACACCTGTTTTGTGGATTGTAGGTCTTTACCAGGCCTTTGATTAAGGAGGCGACAAAAGGAATGTACCAGGGAAATAGTGTCCGTTTGCTTTCACCCAGGGAGACCACCTTAATAGGGACGGGAAGGGGAGGAGACTGGCAAAACTCACACACAGTGTCAGTCCACTAATTTGATGCTGTTGCGTATTGTCAACGTGAGTGGCATTCAGCGATATCAAAGGCCTGGGCTGCCTTAGCAGAGCATGTCATAGACTGGGCCAGGCCTACCGCGGGGGCGTACCTGTTAAGAATAACCAAAGAGTCCTGTAATGATGGAAGTAGCAGGAAAAGATTAAGTATTCAAAATTTGTTTACCAAATGAATGTTAATTACCAGGCCTCCTGTTGCAAACCCACCCAAAGGTGACAGTCCCTCTTTTAAAAAGTGGGCATCTTATACATTATTGTGTTGGCTGCTAATACTACAAAGACTTTTTACAGTGAATCCTCTTTTTAAACTTACACATATTAAATGTCTTCCTTGTACACTGGAACAAAATGGAGATGTAAACATATTTATTTCCAGTAATATAATGTATTCACTCTTTCATTGACACACAAAGCAACGAAAATCTGTAAGGCTGTTTGTCTTTAGATAATAATATCTCGATAACTGCATACTGCCATCAAAATAGTAAAATTAAAATTAAATGACATTTAATCAAAACAAGTATTACAAGTCAAATTTATTTAATCTGTTACCCCTTGGGTACATGCGTTACTCACAGAAAGTCTTGGCATGTTTGTTTATTATTATTTAGTTTCATATCAAAAGTCAATTGACAAGCAATGTTTAACATATCTGCACATTTTCTTTTTTAAGTGTCATAATTTTTTTGACTGACCCATTCAGTTCAGTTCTTACCATTTTGTTATTAATTGCAATTGTAGTCACTGGCTCCCAAAAGGATACTAAACACAAATGCTTGGTGTTTCATGTTCTTGCAAAGGCGTTACTAATTTAAAAGCACCCAATGAGATGGCTTGTCAATGAACTTTTTAGCTCAGAATAACTCCTACCTTTAGAGCTATAATTTGGTTTTCACTTCATTACTACTTGAAACGAATGTTTTACTTAAAGCTACAGGTTGTTTCTAATGTGATACACATTTTTGTAAACAAATAAAGTAATGATTTTTGTTATAAGTCCAACATTTTTGCTGAATTAAGCAAGCATTCCAAGACTTTATGTGAGCGCTGTACAAACACACACATGGTTAAAAACATTTTGAACAAATCTAAAAATAATATAAATTTACCATGCTTTATCTATTTAGTATGGGATATAAGGAGTAGTAAATTAATTTCACTGCTGTTTTTTATGGGTAATTATTTTAAAATAAATAATTTAAAGTTCAAATTATTTTTAAAAATTGCTAAAGAGAGAGATTGCATAAATAAAATATAACTAAAATGTTTGAATAAACAAAAGTGGAAATATGTCCAACATGAGAAAATGGAAGTCGGAATGTAAAAACTTCTTGTCTACTAATCATTCCATTGTTCTCATTTGTGAATCTATGTCCTGATATCTGTCTATAAACCTGTGACATCCTGTCACAAAAATGTGCATGAAGACCTGTGATGGGAATTTGATTGCTTCTAATTCACATTGTCCAGACCACACATATTGCTAGGTTCTACATTTCTGTTCCTAAACTTTGCGAAATGTAATTGAAATGCGACTTTATTAAAAAATAATTTAAATGATACTTGTAATTTCTCTCTATCAATGATAAAATGTGTTTTTATTATAGAAATGTTGGATTTTCTTAATAAGATGCAGTGATATAATTGCCAGCATCTCGGAAGACATATTTGGTTAGATGTCTGACTCATGTTGGTCAGTCACCAGCTTCCTGTGTTTCCTCTGTCTGACATCTTGGGTTAACTTGCAATCCCAATACACAAATACAGACAGGAGCAATTTCTGAGCCGTCGCCCTCTTCCCTAGTGTTTGTCTGACAAAAAGGCCACAGCAAATCCTGCAACTGAAACAGATAATCACCAGCTTGTGAGGAGGTATCCAATCCACATCCTCAACACAATCTTGGATTTATTGTGTGTTTGCTTAATAATTTCATCCTCTAGGGGTAAAAGGTGCGGGGGGGGGGGGGGGGACTGGTTCTTGGCTAGCTAATTATGGAATACACAACATGTAGGCCCGGACGGGCGCTCCTCCGAAGGGCTTCAAGTGAAAAAAGCCACAGTCAGACGAGCGAGGACCCATCCTGGGAGGGTTTATCCACGCTGTCAGACACTGACCAGGGCCGGCGGAGCTTCACAACATCATGTGAAAATTAAACATTGACGACAAATGGGAGGGGCGGCGTGTCAAACCCCCTGACCTGCACCGTAACCCTATTCTGACCTGTAAAGTCCACTGTGGTCCGATTGTACAACAGCCAAGTTATAGTATTAGCATACAGACATACATATGATACCTTAAATGTCATAAAATAAACTCAAAGACATACAAAGGGAGACTGAATACCATTAATGTAAAATTATTTAAGTTAAAAAAAGTTAAACATATAAACATGCAAACATATGCAATATTGTTAGTCATTGTCATTTGTTTTTGCAAGAGCAGACAAACATGAACATATTTGTTCTTGAATGTCTTGTACGTGACAGTCTAAGTGCATGTTTTAAACGCTGTGGCACTCACAGCACATCCATCCAGCAAAAGATATTTCAAAAGTCTTTCTGGTCAAATACAAAAATAAATACACATATTCAAAGCAATCTTAATCCAAGTTTTTAATTATGTGAACTGTGAATTGCTGATATTAACACTGAATGCAAAGCATTGACTTAAAAGACACTTCAGTGACTGAAACACTTTCAACTTCTCTCTGACATGTAATATAAATGGATTAATAATTAAGTGGTATTAAAACGCCTTGTGTCTTTTGTTTTGAGTCTTATAATAATTCAAGTTCTCATATATTTTTTTGAAGTACCACTGAAAAAGTGATGAAATAGCTTAGAACATATGTTTACCTTCCATGGAAAGATGCCATATTTCCTTTAAGAAAGGGACTGTGTCGTGCAGTAAGTCTCTCATGAGTCTCTGAAGGAGGACGCGACTTTGAAGTCCGTCTCCTTCTGATGTCTGACCCCGCCCCTTCTTGCATGTGCGAACGCTTGTGGCGTGGATGTCACTGGACGCTGATAGTATTTAAGGACCCTCCGAGCTCAGTGCGGTCCATCTGCCAGTGGGTAACGGACACATCACTCTTACAAGAAATTATTTTCCGCTACAAGCTCAGAACCATCGTTTCCCCAGAAATGGGTTATTTTACGACGGGCCTTTTCTTCGCCGCGCTCATTTCTCTTGCGGTCCCCTATAGTCTCGATGATCTTAAAGGAGCCGTACTGGAGAAGCTAGGACTGAAGGAACTTCCTAACATCCACAAGCGGGACTTGGAGAACCTTGTCATCCCGGCGCACATCAAGAACAAGTACCTGTCCATGCTGAAGCTGCACAACAAGCGGCGGCGCCGATCTCTGCCCAGTCTGGCTGGCATTCTCAGGGGTATCTCTGGAAATGCAGGTAAATATTGTATTTGTATGTATAAAAGTAGGACGGATGCATATATGTCATTTCACTTCCATCTGTTTTGACAATCATTTGTTCTATACAAATAAATGCACTGTATTCGGTGCATGCATACATCTTGCTGGGGTCTCACATTTCAGTACTCTTTATAACCTACTTTATTCGTTTTACCCGTTTCAGACATATCGGGGGAGGTGATGTACTCAGACACCACCCGGCAAAGACTCGTCTTTGACATGGAAGCCAGGATTCCCGAAAACAGCGAGGTCACCATGGCTGAACTAAAGTTGTTCAAGAAGGCACCTCGCAAATTGTCTATTCCCGAAAAAAAGAACCACCGGCCGGTTAATAATGCAAGAGTCAGCATCTACTGGTTGGAGGTCCTGGAAAATGGATCCAACAGAACATCTCTTGTGGACTCAAGGTATTTAAAACTGTTATAACTATATAGTTTAAAATGATACGTTTGGCTACTGTAATATGAAAATGATGACATGTTTGGGGAAGTAATTAATTAAGAGGAATGTGTGTCTACAGGTTGGTCCCCATCCACGAAACTGGCTGGAAAAGCTTTGACGTGACACAGGCGGTTCATTACTGGTCAAAGGCGCAGCGAAAAGCCCCGCTGCATCTGGAGGTGTGGATCGAAGGCGAGAGACCGGGCAGCTATGCCGCCGAGCTGGCCAAGTCGGTGCACTTTACCACCCAGGACCCAACGGACAAGACCCTGGGAAAACCAGAGCTCGTCCTTTATACACTGAACCTTGAGGAATTCGGGTACTTGAAAACTTATAAGCCTGCCTATTAAAATGTGCTGTATATCTTACTTGCATATCTAATAAACCATTGTGCTGGTTAGAAATACGAACAACCAATTAACGAATGCATTCGTCCACAGCTCACGCGGCGATTGCGACGCCAGCAAAGTAAACAGCGTTTGCTGCCGGGAGGAATACTTCATCAACTTCCGAGAGCTGACCTGGACGCAGTACTGGATCATCGAGCCCGCCGGTTACCAGGCGTTCAGGTGTGCCGGAGGCTGCAAGCAGCCGAAGCGTAATTACGGATACGGGGAGCGGAGCTGCGCCGCGGTGGAGAGCGCGCCGCTACCGATGATGTACCTGGTGAAGAAGGGCGACTACACGGAGATCGAAGTGGCCGAGTTTCCCAACATGATAGTCGAAAAGTGCGGGTGTACGATGGACAACATTTCTGTTGTTTGATCAGTTTTTTTTCTTTTCCATTCTGTAAGGCGGAAGGGAAACATAGTACTTTCATATTTAAGTGTTAATGAGTTATATTCCTTTTGTATACACTGAAGATGCACCGTTTCTCCACATATCACTTGATTTAGCAGCACTTACGTATAAAATGTAATTTATAACGGTAAACTATATTTTCCATTCTTACTGTCTTGATTAGACAAGTCGATGAACGTCAGAATTAACACTAGATTCTATATTTTGATTTGTGTATTCATATATAATGTATTTTCTTAAAGCAAATAAATTAATGTACATATTCAAATACCTGTCAGTGTCATTTTTTTCATGAAACTCATGTTAATATCACAACATATATTTCTTGCCACTTTGTCATTTCACTAAAATGTGCCTATTTAAAGGGGGAAAAGTTCAGTTGTGTGTTTCCTTGTAATTTAGAGTGCCAAACAAAGCGAACGAATTCGTTTGCAGGATAGTTATATATATTAGCCCAAAAGTTATTTCTAAAAAGGATCTTTATCGTGGGGAAAAAAAATACGCGCCTTTGTGTCTGGCAGGGCACCGTAGACCTTTGCTTAATTGGTGCTTTGCCAGCAGAGTCAGACTTCCAATCCACAAACCGTGAAAGAAAAGCGATTAATGCGCCATTGTCAGATCCCGACAACAGAAATGGAACAAATGCGATAGAAGGCTGCAAATACACACTGGCCGTGATGCGCTCTTCAATTGGCCTTTTATCTTCAAATGCAAACACGCGCGCGTCGCGGGCGGCCCCATTTGGCGCAATGATCGCACTTCAGCGCTATTAAGAGTTTCTAAGCTTCAAATTAACCGCACTCTCAATTATCAGCAAAAGAGAGAAACGTCATAGGCTATGAATAACATTTTATATAAGATCAAAAGATTATTATCAGGAGGAAAACGAATTATACTCACGTACACGGACTGCATTGTTCCAAGTTTTGACCTTTACTTTTAATAATGTATTATTGATTATATGCAGTAATTACTTATATGTTATCAAGAGAAGGTATGTTCAAGATTACGCAAGACCCATTAGTGGGTATGCGCTATTTCTTAACGTTTTACACTCTTTACACATACTCGTTCTAAAGATAAGCACATCATGTAACTCAGGGCACCAACACCATCAATCGATCGTCGTATTCATAATCGTAATATTTATGTTATAAAGAAACTATCTATGTTCATTGTAGATATGCTCAGTCTAGCCGCACGTGTTCCTAGTTGAGTCCATTGTTGTGATTTGATATTTGCGTCACTTGTGTCGCTTTGGATAAAACCGTATGGTACATAAAATAAATGTAAATGAATGTGATTAATTCACTTTCTTGGCATGCAACAGCGAGAATGGATAGTGTCGCGGTTGAAGTTTTCTGTGCCATTTGATATTATACCACATTACATTATGCCAAAATCCAGTATTACCACTCACTGAGGGTGTGTAGGGTGTGCAGCACATGCTGACAGCCCGGCACAAGCAAACACAACCCGAACTGTCTGTTAGAGGTAGTACAATACTAATTAAACTTCACTCTTATCTCCAAACGAGGCCCTGTGTAAATAGACGCAGGCAGTAATACAAATATTTTTTCCAACCGTGCATTATAAACATGACTTGCTGTAGTTTGTTGGTATTACATGTTTGTCACAGAGTGACTTCGAATGTGTATTGCGCCAGTAAGGAAGCAGTAAGGAGTCACGAAAGACTGTACCACACTGCCAGACGGAGGGTCCATTTCAACAACAAATACTCCTTAGTAAATATATATTGAAAAGGTACGGAATAATTTTGCAGTGATACGAAATATAATTGCCTTTCAAATAAAGTTAGCAGGGAGTTTGTTTCTTTTTGGTCTGTTTACATAACTAATAACAATTTAAAAAAACGCTTCTTGTGAGACTACCCCCCTTTAAAATAGTTTGTTCCTGGACGTCCCACGCCGCATTAGCCCCCTGCAGCTGCATGTTAGCTAGCAGAGGGATGCAGCTTTTGCCACCAAGGGTGCAGACAGCGCTATGCTGACCCCCTCTTTACACACCCCCATGGCCTACTGTGGACAAATAAAAATGGCACGTGAGAGGGTGTCTGGACAGTCCAGAACACGAAGGGTTAAACACATCAGCTGGTAAAGCAGATGCTATTCTTGATTTCTTGATTCGAACCCCACATTCCAATGCAGCAGTGACTGTTGACGCATCAGAAACAGCATCTCCCAGCTCTCGCAGGCGACGGAGCCTCGTAATCAGCGAACTCAGCTGTAATATCTCTGCTTGACTGAATCAAAAATAAATCACATGATTGGTGTTCTTTGCGGGTGTTGTCACAAATTAGCGCAAATTGATTTTTATCTACATTTGAAAATTAACATTTAAAAAAAATTCATATGTTGTTCGCATGTAGTATTACCTGTTATTTTCTTTTGAATATATGTATGTTTGAAGACTCAAATCATTAGTAATAATTGGCCTGCCCTTGTGCACTATACTGCCTGAGATAGCCCCCCCGCCCCCCCTGCCCTCCATGACTGTGTACTGGATAAGTGGTTGGAAGATGGATGGATTGAAAGACTGCCATGTGATTCACTCACATTATGTCTGGGGTGTCCCCTTGCCTTGTGCCCATGCTTGGCAGGATAGGTTCCAGGCTCACTCTGACCTTGACCTACAAAAGTAGTATTGAAGATGGATTACATACATGGCTGTAGACAAATAATATTGTTGCTCTCTCATAATTGCAAACTTCCATACTGATTCCCCATTAAAGACTCGGGGCAATGATGTCAGTGTAAAGCAGAATAGTAGTACTATAGACGTTCCACAGAAATACAAGACACTAGGTAAGATCTGACCTGGACCTCTAGTATGTAGGACCTGGGGCCCTCAAGTAGGGTGGAGATGATGCGATGACTCCAAGCAAGTATGGCAGCAAGGAACTGTGGTCTACATGGACCTTAGCCAGAAACGAAAGCTTTCCACCAAGACAGAAATCCGAGGAGCAGGACCCAGGACAGGGCGCCAAACACATAAGCTGGTATAGAAAATGGATGGATGGATGGATATTTGCTTAGAAATGTGGTGGATTGACATTCCATCCTCTGCCTTGTGCTTTAGCTGTCTGGGACAGGGTCTGGGTTCAGTATTTATGAAATGAGATGATAGTACATAACGCTAACATTGCTGTTTACGTCCAGCAGGGGGTGGTATAAGCACGATTAGAGAAATGACACGTTTCAAGTGAAACGACTCACATAAATCGCAGTTTCTATAAACAAGTGGTTCAACTCTTGTTCGTATTGATTCTTCTGGGATGCACTGCCATCCTCTCAGTTAAAGAGGACTAACAATAGTGAGCTCGCTTTCATGTTTAAAATCAGTTAATCCCATTGTCATGGGGCCAGTTATGACACAAGTCCAGGATATGGTCTGTACCTTTGTGTAAATACATTATGGTAGAAAATTAAATGACTAATCTATAAAACATTACAATTTTGTTTGTATTTGACTGATTTTCAAAAAAATCAGATTCGGTACTGATTCTTCGAAGACACTTCAGATTTTTCTGTATACTGAAGTCGCGCCATGTCTCCCTCTACTGGCTGCTCCTGGTACTGACATTAGCCCTTTTTCATGCTTTTACTTAAGGCAGCTATCAGTGTTTAGTGGGCTATGTCAATGACCCAAGAACCGGCCGATATGAAAATTTGTTGTTTTCTGTAACCAAAGGAGACATATCAATATTCTGACAAGCTTTATTTAAGAACTAATCATTGACCAAAGGTTTCCGAATTTGCGCATATACATACTGGTTTTTTTTTCTTTTTATCGGGAAAACATCTACACTTTTCTTAATCTGTCCAGTTCTTCATTCTTTAGTAAAAAATAATGCAAATACCCAAAGAAGTGGAATGTGTATCTCTTTATTACTTCAGGCACAAGGCATTATTTGAACGTTCAGTTGACCTTCAGAGTATTGTGCTGTCAGTTTCCATAATTGAAGCAGCACCTTCAAAGACTGACGATATGTAAACAGCTAATTAGGTGCATCATTCATCATTATTATCCATCAAGATGTTAATTTTAGGAGATGGAGGTGCAGCTGTGGCACTGGCCTGTTCTCAGGACAGGAACCTTTGTGATTTCTGGGCTCTACTCTGCCAGACCAAGGAAAAGCGATTAATCCCTGAGGGACACATCAGCCACACGTGTGCCAGAGGTGGGAAACCCATGGAGATTAAAAGATGAGGATTCTCCGTTAGCAATACGACTACACTCATCTGCCATGAGCCACTATTCCACAAACACTGTCACTCTTGTATCCGTTTCCATTTGCTGGAATCATTGGTTTCTCTATGAGGTCACTGTGCTATGAGGTCACCTTGACTCCATATTGTGTCGTACTGTGAATAATGCCAGTAAGGCAAAACTCTATGCCCTACTATGAAGGTTCCTGGATGGAATAGCTACAACGTAATTTCAAACTCATGACTCAAGCTGCAGTGACACATTCAACATGATTTCAAAAAATATGAAATGTATCCATTTCAAGATCAGAAGCTCTAAAATCCAGGAAGTCAAGTTTTAATCCACATGACTTTTGTGCTGCTGTTACTCCTAATACACATAAATATCCTTAAATGCTTCTTTAGAGAAACTTACAGCTCTATGTTGAAATTTTAGTCAATGCACTAGATGCTGCCAACAGACAACAAATGATCTTTGACCTGATTTGACATGATTTCAACTGTACAGCTGCATCTAAAAAACAGCAACTAAAGAAAAAGTAACATCAAAAGAAATGCCAAAAATAGTAATGCAATAAGCTGATGATAGAAAGATCCTTTCCAGTTTTCTTCCCATAGAAAACACTGTTGCTGCACATCTGGCAAATGCTGATTTAGATGAACCTGTGAGTCAATGTATGTCACAGATTGAGGGAAAAAAGTCAAGGTTACTGAAAAGAAACTGGAAAAGTATCAAGTCAGACCTGATAATGGAGAAAACTGACTAATTATGAGAAACAAATTAAAATGAACTGGTGAGTACTCATGACTCATCAAATTTCATATATTGCACAGACTAAAAATTCACAAGAAAATAATGCATTCACATCAGATGGGAAGATTCTTTGTTCTTTGCTGTGTTGAGGTTCGAAGTTCTGCCTTGAGACCTCCTGAGTGGATCTCTGACCCACAAACGCTCCAGCATGTCAGATCTGTAGCACCAGGCCGGCAGCTGAGATGTTGTCCCCCCCCCCAGCGGTCTGATGGACCTCCGTGCACACCAGAACGGGGGCCACGCACAGCTCGTAGTCGTCCTCATCCCAGCAGGACACGGGCCGCGTCTCCTGGAGCATGATGCGCTGGCTGCCCTCCCTCCGGCTGACGGAGAAGGACTCGTCCAGGATGAGCTTGGCCTTGCTGGGGTTGATGTCCGGCGAGCCGCACACGTGCCGGTTAGCGGTGAGCGAGGCCTTGGCCGTGGCTGACATGGTGTTCTTCCACTGGGAGCCATGAGCCACGATGATGGCCTGGAAGGCCAGCGTGTGCACATGCAGCCGGGTCAGCGACCGGCTGCTGGGACTCTTCCCACGTCGCTCGTTAACCAGCCGGTATAACTCGCGCATCTGGTCCAGGACGGTGGCCACGCGGGGGCTGGGGTCCGACAGCACGGTGACATTGCCGTCCCGCAGGTGGCTCAAGAGGTTGGGTAGCTCTTGCTCGTTCATGCCCAGGGAGTCGGCGTGTGCGACCACCCGCTCCATCAGCTCTACCAGCAGGAGTCCGTCCACGAAGCTGGCCATTTCGAAATGCACGCCCGTGTCCTGGGATGTGGAGGACAGCAGCTGGGACAGGCGTCTGAGAAGGGCCTCTCGCTCACCTGCGGGGATTGGGCCGGGCGTGAGTGGGCGAGGGGAGATGCATTAGATTTGTAGAAATTATCGAGATGCATTGCATGAAAACTCAACTCATGGATGCATCATGGCTTGCTTCTTTTCCTCTGCTAGCTTGATGCTATGCCACATATTGCACGTTCTAACTGAAATGAGGCAGCATCATTTCAGTGGATAACACTGAAATGACACTAAATTAGCTATTTGCACGAATACTCCGGAATGCTTCTTTTCACATACCCTCTAGTCTCTCCCTTTACACAGTTGAGAGCAATGCTCAGGGTCTGAGTGCAGGGTCAGCTATTTATCCAGTGTCCCAGGGGGATTTTGGGAGGTTAAAGGTTCAATGGACATTTGACTATCCTGCCGAAGAATGAATGTGAACTGGTGACCTTCTGATGACAGGCACACAGGGCTAACCCACTGAGCCACATGCAGCCCCACACACTACAGCCTCACACCTGTTCATTTACGTCTTCTCTCAGGGCGTTCACGGCTTTCCTCTGTGTACTCGATACAAAAACATGTGGTTAGGCGACTCTGACATTAGTGTATGCTTTTCTGCGTGAGGCTTTCCCTTGGTAGGGACTGACATGTGGTCTATAGAAGATAAATAGATGGGGCATCTATCTTTGACACCCAATAGCATGATGCTATACTTTTTTTTAACTTACATATTTTTAAATAATTCCATCCAGAGCTCTGCTTTTCAGGTTTCAGGCTCAGTGGAATCACAAGATGGATAATAAAGTATGGAAGTTGGGTGGATATTTTTAATACTCAAACTTAGAACCGCCCCAAAAGCAGCTATAAATATTTAATACGCTTGTGAAACGTGTCAAAACATGCAGAACTATGGTCGTTAGCGAGCTTTTCCTGGCTAAGGTGGCGGTGGGCCCATTACTGCATTCCGTGCCGTTCGTACACGGGATTAAATCTCGGGATTAAATCTCGAGCTCGCTGCGGGATACAGCTGGCTCCGCACGCGGCGTCCGGGGCAGCTGGGAAACAAGAGCCACTGCAGCCTGAGGGCAGCGGGAGGCGGCAGAGTCACACCATGACCCTGGTGAGCGCTGTCCGCTTCAGCATCTCCACGCCTCCGAGTGCCGTCAGCTGGGAGCTTGCAAAGCCTATTACCTGTGCGCTTATTTTGGAATTTTAGTTCTTTTGCTTAGTTTTTTTTTTTTAAACTTAGTTTTAAGCACACATTTCAACATTTTCCACTGAGATTAATAAGGTTTTATCTTATATTGCTGTTGATATATATAGTACTACAATAATATGTTTATGGCACACACATATATATGCAGTATATATTATAAATACATATATTACATACTCATATATATATATATATACACACTTAGACAGACACACACACACACAACCAGTCCAAGGTTTTTGCACACACAGATTTTCTACATTTGTATGTTACTACCACTTACTAAGATCCGGACCTATTAGACGGATCGGGTATCGGCCACGTGTGACCGACGCCTAATCCCACCACAGCTCTTTCCTGTTTTAGATGTGTTTGTGGCATTCAAGCTGAACGCTAAGAACGTCACGAACATCAGATAAGCGTAAGAAGAGGGTGACGATCTAGAAGTGTTTTATGCTTCTTATCAAGCAGCACAGTGATTTGCAGTCTTTGTAAACACAGAGTTTTGAGAGGCGGAAGCAGCGTTTAGTGAAACAAAGTGCACACAATTGTGCGAGACGACACAAGCAATATGAAAAAAGCAATGGATGACTTGGGAGTCGCTGGCTTGGGCTGTTTTGCGCAATCTCTGCAGTTTGTGATACACGAGGGGCTGCTATCGCAGCGAAGTGTAAGTGACGCTGTTGCCAGTGCGAGAAACACTGTGGGGCATTTTAAGCATTCGCCACTTGCGTGTACTCTCTTGGAAGATATTCAAACTGAACTGCAAATGACTCAGAAACGCTTAAAACAAGATGTGCAAACAAGGTGGAACAGTACGCTATGTATGTTTGTAGTAGCCTAAGTAAAGATTTCCTGGCATATATTTTTCATTTGTATCTACTAGTTAAAAAATATTAATAATATATAAAAGTATAAAAAATATTAAAGTAAAATGAGCTCTTATATCAGAATCTGTATCGGTATCAGCAGAACTGGAGTCATTCCATATGAAATCATCACACTTTCGGACCAGATCAAAAAATAACAAAAAACATTTTAATATTGATCAAAAGTTGTGACCCAAATTTTAAAAATTTTGAACGAAATGTATTTCACAAAAAATAGCACAGTGACAGTAAATAGACTTGCTGACCTAGGGTGCTGGGGGGGGGGGTTTGGCCACAATTCCCTGAAAATGGTTCTGTGACACACTTTTGGGTCACGACCCACCAGTTGAGAACCACTGTGATAGCTTATGTTACAGTGTTCAGTTATTACTACAGCACAGGGTATAATATCACTGCGGACAGGCTGCCAGTCTAAGGAGGGGCGGCATTCGAACCCCTGTCCCTGGAAGCCACCGTTTCACCCGGCAAACATGCAGTTTGTATTATGGAAAGATGACAGAAACAGATACTATATATTTTGCAGAGAATACACATACATCTGTGCTGCAGTGTTTTACATCTACAGCTAGAAAAACTAATTTATGCCAACTCAGTGACATGAATCGGTGACATCCTGATCTGTCAGCTCGAGTGCAAGTTTTCATCTAGAGAAGCGAACATAAAACAGAAGGTTATATTACACAGCTTCCCGTGCAGCTTCAGGAAAACTGAAAACATCCTGTTGTGTGGGGAGATCACTTGTAATCGAGTGTGGAGGCACAGGCTTTATAGCTAGTAGCTATATTTTCCATCCATCCATCCAGTTTTATCTTCACATGCATTACTGTAACTGTCATTTGAGATCTTGCTCACTGCTAATCTAACCCTCCACATCTCCAGAGTCTAGAGATCAATCCAGAGAACATCTGTTTACTCAATCAAGAGTCATACAATAGCTGACAGATGGCGGGATACCTGGGAAAACATCCACCTACAAGCCTTGCATAGCTGCTTATGGAGCTTCTCCTACAGAGGACACCGTGGATGGGATGCAGGTCTATCACAGGGTACATACATGAACACATGCCGCGGGCCACATTAATCCTCATAACCACCCTGAAGGAATCAGGAGAGCTTAATCACACGTGGATGGACTTCAGCACACTCACCTTTCTTAAAGGGAAAGCTGTCCATCATCTGCAGGCCGCCAATAATCAGCAGGTCTGGCTGGAAACCCCGAATCTTCTGCTCGAAGTCCCCCATTGACGCCAGGTACGGGTTGTGCTTGTCACTATGGATGATGTATCTGTGGAATTAAAGGCATATGTCACGTGAGCGCCGCTCTTGTGGGGGGTTGTGGAATAACCGCTCGCATGGAGTGCAGCCACTGCATGTCTTGATGAAGCATGGACCGCATCTGCAGATGGGCTGGGAAACGTCAGAGCAGCCAGGGCAGAAAGACACACCGACCTGTTTGCCCGCCTGGACGTATACCGGCCCCACTTGGCGCCGGAGGGATACTCCAAGACGAGGTGGATGTCAGGCTCCTCTACTCTGTTCCCTGCCACTGTGAGGTGAAAGATGAGGCGATGGAATGGAGTGAGTCCCCAGCAGTGCATTATGGGGGCTAAACCAATGATGAAACCGCGATGGTCCACCGATGAATGTCCCATTTGCATAAAGTAAGGTACAGCTAGTAAAGAAATATGTACCTGTGTAAACTATACAAAAATACTGTTAAAGTACCATAAAGACTAAGGGCCTAATTTCCACAAATATCATTCAAATTATTACAAATAACTTTTTAATTATTGTTCCTTCAAATAATGAACCAGACATACATTTACTGCACATACACACAGCAAGCATCCTATTAGTGGTGTACATACATCACGTTGGTCATATTTCTTTAACAACTGTCTTTTTATTAACACAAAAAATATGGTGAGTACATTTAATATAGCTTAAGCATGCACTGATTTGTATGCAGAACATGCAAATGCAATGTGAAAAGCACATCTATGCAAATTATGAAAGATATTCACATAGGAACAGTGACCAGTTTGTGACTCACTCCTTGTTAGAATATTTCCTTGCCATATGCATTGATATGTACTCTTTCCTCGCCATCTGCATTTATATGTACCGATTCCTCGCCATATGCATTGATATGTACCGATTCCTCGCCATATGCATTGATATGTACCGATTCCTCGCCATATGCATTGATATGTACCTATTCCTCGCCATATGTATTGATATGTACCGATTCCTTGCCATCTAGCAAAGGTAAAAGAACTCACCGGTGACGTGCCCTGATAGGACATTGGCGAGGTCGGGGTTAGCGCTCACCCCTAGGAGCACGTCGCAGCCCTCCGTCGCCATGCGGCCGGCCATGACCAGGGCGTTGCCGCCCACTGACCAGCGGTTGCCGGGCACCCCCCGGGAAGCCTCCACCAGCTTGCCGAAGAGGGTGCTGTTCACTACAAACCTCCTGGGAACGGGACACAATGACTGCCTCAGGCTGCACTGGGTATTATGAAAGCAATGCTTTATAATAACATCTCCTTCCTTAAATATTACAAGGAAATGAAATCCTTCCCTGAAAACAATAAAACACAAAGCTAAACAAAGCTTTTGAACATGTCGTGCAAAAACATCCAGCAAAGACAGATACATAATAAGCCATTGTTTGTTCCCAAGTAAGCCTGGCTTGGGTCTGAATTAACCCCAGTCTGGGTTAGCTTAGGGAAGCAAGAATGGGTGACTTTCTATAACTCTAATGGTGAGAGCGTCACTTTCAAATGGCTGAACGACGGCTTAACAGTGTACACTGCACGATGGTGCTTTACACTTGATGACATGTCAAAGAAAATTACACTTTATTTAAATCTCACATTTGTATTTTTGCAAATTTTTCTGCCAAACCCAGCTGCCTCTGTAAACCCCGTATCTTTTCTGAGGGTTTAACAAACCTATAATTTGCAGAAACGGAGAAACTAAATGTTTGTCAGCTGAAAAAGATTCAACAAATATTTTTAAATGCTTTTCATAATTTAGGATCGATGTTCTTAAATTTGAATTTAAACACTCTCTTGCTCAGCATGCGCTGGATGCATGAACAGAGAACAACCCTGCCTTGCTCCCGTAGCCTCCAGGATAAGCTCCAGACCCCCCGTGACGCTGAACAGGTTAAGCAGATTCAGAAAATTGATGGACGGATGGATGGATGGAAGTCACTTTCACACAGGTGAATCTAGCATTGGACTACAAGCCACAATTAAAAGAACACCAGACATTACCACAGAAATGTAACTCAACAATGATTAATTTATTCTAGTCAGTTGCTCACACTGGACAATTTCATGTCAAATCAGAATGAAAATATAGATTTGAACAAAGAGAAGAATAGATGGCAGTTCTATAGACCTGATGTACTGCAGTATCCTGGTCTCTTTATGTAGGTGCTATCTGGTCCCACAGCATAAAAAAAGACTTTCTCATACATTTACATATCTTCTGACCACCATCATCAAATTTGTATTTCTTGCAAATTGTCTATTCTGGACCTTTTCCAGTGAAAATGTTTAATATGTCTAACTTTTACAGAACACTGCCTATTTTTGAGACTCCACACACCCTGAGGTACAGAGTGCACCTCGTCTTCTTCATGATCTTCATACTCTTGGAAAATCCAAACACAGCAGCCCCTACGGGACTCTACAGCCTTTTGGATGTTTTGTTGCCGAGTCCTGTTTCTGCAGAGCCAATGATGATAAAACACGATACTTAGAGTTTAAGAACTTATTCCAGCGCAAGATGTGACCCTGTGCTCTGTCATCTCTCACTACTTCTCCTCCGTCGAGCTGCCTGACGCGTCACACGTAAACCTCCTAGTGCTGCCATCTTACCATCGCATCCATGTGTTTGTTTGACACCCCATCCCAGGCAGAATCCTATCAGTCTGTTAGTCACGGTCAAAGGTACCCAGAATAAGCAATCTCAGAGACAGCCAGGGGCGGGGCCACAGGGGACACTGACCTGAGATGAAGACTGATTGGCCCACACAGTGCCCCTCCCTTGTCATTCACCGATTCAAGACTTATCATTGGCTAATGATTTGGTTGGCCCCACACTGAATTATGGCTCCTTATAGGGCCTCCACCACAGAAATATCCTAGAATCACCCCTGAAGAGAGCACAAATATAGAAATTACAAGCGATCCTACTAGGCTTGGATGAGGTGTCCCACACTGGAGCTCACTCACTCGCTCGCTGCCCCAGGGGGGAAGAAGTACGCAAAGCTCTGGGCCAGCTGCTCGCTGTCCTCGATGAAGTCGTGGTGCAGCGGCCGGTCACTGGGCAGCACCCCGGCCTTGTCCAGCAGCGAGACGCCATCCACGACGATGTCCACGCAGCCCCCGAAACCTGCAACAGCGACAGAGAGCCACGAATAACCTCCCAGTGACTCACAGGCCGGATGCTTTGTATGAGAGTCCAACTTCAATGGCTGCCATGCATGAATATTAACTTGTGATAAACACACAGTGTCACAAGTAAATAAGAACATCTCTACTGCACAGATTTCCCTGTTTCTCCATTGGTCAATTGTTTAAACCATTTAAATCAGCATTCAAAAATAGGTACACAGAGAACATTGGAAACATCAAAATGGAGATGATTTGATCTTAAATCAGTCTGAGCCTATCACTAGTTATCTGTCTGGTAAGCCAGGTGGCCTGACTTTTACCTCTGCAGTTAGAATCTTCCATGCCAGTTACCCAGTACAGGGGTACCAGTCCATCACAGGGCAAACTAAGGATACACCAAGTCTAGATGCTAGATGCTTTTGGACTTTAGAAGGAAACAGAGGAACGTGTGAAGCTGATGTGATCCTGCAGATGTGAAGCTACAGTGTTACCTTCCAAGCCACAATGCCGTCCTCATTATCAGTCGGTCTTGACATCATCAGTAATAACTTTTTTGGCTTTGCACTCCTTGAACTAGAGAACAGATTAAACTGAACAACATACCCTGTTTGGGGCACTGGTCACCAACTGGTGCATTCAGACAGAAATTCAATGAACCCCTCCACCCCCACTTAACTAATTTTATCATTGTGAATCCCCCCCCAGCTTTGGGTTGGCAATATAATTTGGCCGGCTGGGAAAAATAGTTTGGGACCCCTGGTTTAGAGCAATAACAAAGAAATTATTTTATTAGCCTTTTTAAGCTAAGAGAATGAGAACATTTTTTGTAGTTTTCAGCTCATCTCTTTCATGGTGAGACTTGCACTGCATCCAATTAATATCTTAATAAATATCTCCATATTAATTTCTCACTCAAATCAAGGAATGTTCATCTGGTCCAAAATACACTTCCATCTGCTGAGTGGGAAGTGACATACTAGTTTATAATGACAAATGCCAGAATACAATGGTGACATTATTTATGCGCCAGTGGAGTCAGACTTGCAGCACTGAGATTTTCCTGTCGCAACGTTTCATGCAGGACTCACTGCGCACTGGATTTGCCATCCAAAGCCTGTGAATTATTACGAGGATAATCTCTGCTTAGCTGACAAAACATGTTTTGTCTCGTGATAAGTTTTGTAACAGCAACTGACCTCTTCACACTAAGAATGATGTGTAATATAAAATTTTAAAATACGCATTGTATATTATTACTACAACTTAGCATATTCAGTGTTCTTAGAAAGAGTATTAGTTATGCTCATCTTATTTGCTTTTAATTCCTCAAAGAAACCCTGATCAACAAAAGCAGTTGGGTATGATATATGCTAACAATTGAACAGCCTACGAAACAAAAAGAATCAGCGCTATCCTGAATTACTAAGAAGACGCTATAACATTTCGGCAATAATGACAAGTCTTAATATTGTACTGACTCATTCTTAGTCTTTGGACCCCATAATAACCTCAGTAGAATTAAGATATAGTAAACAAGTAAGACCTTTGTTCATTTATTATTTTTTTTGTGATGAAAACATTATTGAGCCCTATTGAAACGGCTGTTTTTAACCTTTGGTCTGTGTGTCTGTGTATTTGAATGATTTGTGCTGAAGGTCTTGATGCTGTCAGAAAAGACACTTATCACGGGTCCTACAGATAAACCGGCCAAGTCAAGGTATCGGCCAACCGAGATTCAGAATATTGGAGCATGAGAACATAACCAGTATTTTTCTGTAGGAAAAACGAAAGAGCTTGTAGGTCTTGGTTGGCCGGAGTATAAACCTGCTAAGGAGGCTTCCTCCAGTCCATCAGTTACCAGCTGCCTGTGTGGGTTTAAGTGTCACTGCATGACAGTGTGTGACAAATAGCTACAAGGTACCCAAAGGGTTTGTCGTGCATCACAGCATATAGATTACACACTCAGAGAGCCAGGCACCAGAGATGACTCAGACCCCACTTCTGAAACCGAAATCTGTCCATGATAAATACAATTGTAAGCAAAGGTATCCATCCATTTTCAGTGAACCACTTAATTACTTAATTAAGGGGCCAGGGACCCATCTGCTGAGAAGCACAGAGCTCAAAGCAGCAGTAATCCCAGAAAAGGCAGAGTTAAACTCCACATACGCATAACACGGGATGGGCTCCACGTCTTCAGCGGTAGGGGTGAGTCCTGCCCCCCTTCGATTTGCGTTACTGTTATGGATACTTCAGTTTCCCCCAGCACTCAAAGTGTGTGTGATCATGTGTACGTGCCCTGCGATAAACTGGCATCACAACCAGGGTGTCCCCTGCCTTGTGCCCTGTGATGGACTGGCATCCCATCCAGGGTGTCCCCTGCATTGTGCCCTGAGATGGACTGGCATCCCGTCCAGGGTGTCCCCTGCCTTGTGCCCTGTGATGGACTGGCATCCAGCCCAGGGTGTCCCCTGCCTTGTGCCCTGTGATGGACTGGCATCCCATCCAGGGTGTCCCCTGCATTGTGCCCAATATTTCCTGAGATAAGCCTCAAGGGCGTTCTGACACTCTGCTCCCCAAGTGGTTGGAAACTATATATATTATTATAACAATCAAATGTAATTATCCATCCATCCATCCATCCACTGTCTGAACCCACTCATCCTATTCATGGTCGCTGGGGGTCCACAGTCTATCCCGGCGGCTTAGGGGCACAAGGTGAGGAACAATCCAGGATGGGGTGGCAACCCACCCAAAGGTAATTATAGCAAAACTAATTCAATTCAACCAAAAGTCCAAAGGAACTGTCTGACAGCATCATTGGGCTTAAATGGTATTAAATGGACCTGCTCCAACCCTCCTGTTCTGTTGTTAAATGTCAAACGTCCTAATAGTGATGAATGACCCTTAATGAACTTCCACACACCAGTTTAAATCATGCCAAAGTATATAATGCAGCTGAATAAGATCTGGACTGTTACAACTCATCTCTAACTGGTGTCATATCATTGCTAATAATTTACAATGTTGCAGTTGGAAAGCTCCCCTAAGCTTCATCAAAAGCCGGCATCCTCTTGTATAAAAGGCATCTCCTCTTCCATGTATAAATCAAAAATTTTGAAATGACCCTTCTCAAGCAATACATGGTATTCCACCAGCTACATTATCCAGTTCGTAAACTATTAAATCTGTTGACTGTAATAACCTCTCATTGTTTTTAAAATCCATCCATTTTTTATCCTTATCAGGACCATGAGAGGCAGATAAAATGTAGTTACATGCAAAATATGACATAATATTTAATATACAACAACAATAACAATGACAATGATAAACAGTATTGTTATTAATAATATACTGTATTTGTTTTAACGTTGAAGTTAAATATAAAATGGAAAAAGTACAACTTCTCTAACCAGGTTTATGGCAAAACATCCAGACGCTTCAGGGCTTCATGGCTTTTAAACAAAAGATAAAAATCTTGCTTATCCACTTCCTTTGCCTACGTGGTGTTAAAGGGCAAGGTTACAAACGCGTGCAATATCAGCAAATACGCCTCCACTTTTTCAATGGAGCCCTAATAACAGAAGAAAGCGACAAGAAACGATATGATATGTAACATTTAGTCTGGGTCAGAAAACGCATGTAGGAGTACATAAAATGTATTAGGAAAATATGATAGAAAAGAAGACATGTGACAAAATTCGGACTTGGAGGAACAGACAAACAGGGGACTAGTAGACAGCAGTGTTATATTGCGTGGGGGGAGGGGACATAACTTAATAATTTAAATAGGAACGATTTTTTTCCGGGGGGTGGGGTAATGAAGTCAAATTAAATATTGGGGGGTACCTGTACCCCCAGTTCTGCCGGTTCCGACGTCCCGAGGAACAGATAATAAGATTCCGCGATTATTATTATTATTATATGACCAGAAAAAAGCAAGTGCAACGATGTATCTATATAGTAAGTAAGGACGAAGATCTTTAGACAGGGTTAGGCTTTTGGTGGAGGAGTTCTTCATAGTTAGGTTTTGGTTTGTAGTAATAAATAAGAATATTCCCCACTCATAAATAAGAGGCTCGAATAGGGTAGAAATAAGATTCAATTCATAGATCTTGCTTTTCGCTTCGCAGAGGTTTTAATACTAATTATATTAATTGTACAAAATAAACTGCATGAATTACGAGCATAAACTCTTCGGAATCAAAGTCTGCCGGCAGTTTCGTAAATCTGTCCGCTCCGTGGATGTCAACGTTTAATGACGGCAGATTTGATAAACGGCGTGGCGGAGCAGCTTACCTACGGCCACCCGGGGTCTGGCGAAACTGCCGATGCCCACCTTCCGCTCCGCCCGAAGCAGCGAGGACAACACGGCGTCCAGCCTTCCGTCCAAATGCACGTCCTGCCCGGGCGCTCGGTACCAGTACGCCAGCAGGACCGCGATAATGGACAGCACGGTGCCGCACTTCATAAGGTAAAAGCTGCCGATTGCTTCCGTGGCCATTGCCGGGATTGGGGAGGATAGGGGGTCTGGCCACAAACACGCAAAAAGGCAACTAGCAGTAGAGATTTATGGTGGACGGTGAACGCCGTCTGGCCATCTGGATGTGATACGCTGGGAAGCCAGCGAGGGAGTGGGAGCGACAACAAAGCGGAAGTTGCCTCTGTGAGCGTTTGCGGACTAAAGGCTTTATGCCTTAGGAAAGCGGGACCGAACAGGCGCATCTGCGACGAGGCGCACGCATCCCGAGACGTTTCTCACATATATTTAACATTCAATAGCATTAACGCCGAGAGTATTCGGCATCGATGAGATTATCAGTCCTAAGTAGTCATTCGGACTAGTAATGTGTGCATTATGCCAACGTTTCATAAAGGCATGTAAAAGCGGGGTAATAAAATGAAACTCAGTCAGCCGAATAACGATCATGTTTGCGTTATATCTGGCGATATTTAAAGTGCAAATTAGTCGGTAAGACTTCGTTTAAGTAATTGTAACTTTTTTTTTGTTATAATGGACGTTAGAATGGATTTACAATTAACTCATTGTAGCTCTATTCTTCAAGCTAGAAATATGATTTAAAACAGTTTCATCAAAACCCATTTAAGGTAAAAGTAGGTGTAGTCCTCTAACTTGATGATGGTTAACACCTTACGATATTACTGTCAATGCTTCACATGTCCGGAAACCCGTGCGCATGCGTGCGCTTCAGGTTCTATGCGCTAATAATGTATGGCGACACTCGGATTAAGTGCCTCGGGGCCACTGTATTGTCAAAGGTGGTGACCTACAAAAATAAACAATCAAATTATTAAAAACAGACTACGTTTGTGTTCTTTATCACTCTCTCCGTTTCAAACACCAGAACAGGTATCAGCAGATTAACCAGAATCCAGAAATCTTCTGGTTACTCATTTCCATGGATGCAGAAGTTGCACATTGTAAAATCTGTTAGGTTGAATCGTACCAGGTAATTCAAAGGACGGACGGTGTCAGTCCATTACATACAAACAGGCAACTTTACACTATTCAGATGGCATATGTGTTTAGACATGGACCACAAGCCAAATATATTTTTGATTCATTCTTGTTTTATAATGCAAGACAGTCTATGTAGAAGCACACCCTATGGGATGATCTTTTACACACTACTAAATAATTGTATTTCCTTTGAGATCTAATTTACCCTAAAATTGGATTTTATTATACATTTGTTTTAAATACCCTAAATCGTATAGACCTTCACAGATGAGCCCCACATGAAAATAAATATTTATATATGCAAAGCAGTAGACATACAAGAACTGTATTTTTTTCCTGCATGGGTCACTACTCTTAAAAGCGGGGAATACAAGCAGGTGTAGGGTAATATTTTTTAAGGATCACCACAACTTGTGACATAGCAATTAAGATCTTGGCTACAGATGTCAGTTCTGCCACAGCATGAACGCTCTTGATCATGCATAGCATTTCTAAAGAAAATACACTGTTCCTTTAAAAGGCATCACTTGTACGCCTGATGCCCCAAACCCACATGGCATCAGAATTGACCGCTGATGGTTTGACAGTCAACGTCTCATGTCAAACTCAAGAACAACCCTGTGGCTTGGGAATAAGCTTATTTCATTCAAAACTTGTGTTTTAAGGACATTTTCTGTCTACACAAGCTCTCTTAAAGGTGAATTATTCATATCAACAAGGTAGTGAGGGCATGACTGCTCACATAGGTTTCGGATTTCCAGTTTGAGCAATATGCAACCTCACTGCATTAAAGAAGTCGAACCCAGTTTTAAACCTTTAACTCTTTGTCCTTGTGTGGACACTTGATTGTGTAGATTATGGATACTCCAATTCCATGACAAAACATTCAACATGAATTTCATCTTAAATGAAAGATACTGTAAGTGTTTTACAGAGACTGAGAGGTTAGTAGTTGACCTAACATAATATACCTGGGAAACATGGACATAAAATACTTCTTTTCATTGAGATACTTGAAATCATTTCTCAAAGTATGACAGATAAAAATCAAAGCTGTCACAGTCCACATAACACTGCAGATGAAAGATGTTAAATCTTAAGTCAGACCTAAACACAAGATTATATTACATGTCACTTCTGCTGGTTTATTATATCGTTTTTCTTAAAAGAACATCAATTTTCCTCCAAATCTACGGGGGGGAGAAAGAATAAATTAAGTATTTGGTCAGCTTATTGTCTTTTAATTTTCTCATAGCAAAATACAAAACATAGCAAGGTATAAAAAACAAACAAAAAAGGTTAAGTATTATACAAAAACTTTAACATTACCTCTGAATGGTAAGCATTACCTGACCAAATACTTCAGATGTGTACATCCACAAACACTAAAACAAGCAAGCTTCACTTCAAACCACTTGCAAAATTTTACAGTGCATGCCTTAGTTTTTATTCTATACAAAACATTTCTCCGTGACCAAATTCAACTTTAAATAGATACTGTCTATCTGCAGTAAAATTCTACTTTAAAAATCACGTTGCATTTAGCAATAAAAAGGATGGCTGTCCTTGCATCAGACCTGTTTGTGAACAAACTGAATATTTTGCATCGTGCCTCCTCATCTTATAAAATTAAAATGGAACTATACTGGATAATTGAAGGAACTTATGTTGCTGGGAAAGTTACAGCTCCCAGTTCAAGGGGGTATTTGAACTGGCGGGATAAAACATCCAGTTTCCATCAGCAATGCAACTACTGGGGCGAAGAGCCGCAAGCACCAATCGGCTGCCTTATAGGGACGTGTCCCACCACCAATCGGCTGCCTTATAGGGACGTGTCCCACCNCACCAATCGGCTGCCTTATAGGGACGTGTCCCACCACCAATCGGCTGCCTTATAGGGACGTGTCCCACCCGCAGGCTAACCATGCATTCAAGTGCTGAATGTACACAGGACTTTTCAATAAGTCCCACTGATGAACCATCTGGTCCAGTAGAATTTTTTTTTAGTTTCTGAACCACTTCCATGAGGAAGCAGTAACTGACCAGTATGAAGCAACTCTGTCTTGTAATGTGTTAATACCTTTTGGTAAGAGAATACTCCAACCACTGAATTCTTTTCCCAGTTTTCCTGCATTGACGGAGTGATCATTTACAGGACTGATCTCAGGGTGAGCTGATCACATCTTAAAGTATCTTCCAGACAGTGATTTTTAGTGTAACCCAGAATGCAATTTCACAATGCTATTTAAGTATACTAAAATATAATAAATACAACAAATATGTACACTTGTTAAAAGGCCCAGCAAATCTATGATGGTTCAGTCGTAGATCACGAAGAATTAACACGTAAATGACAAAATTTAAAGCGCCTTGTAAACACAATAAAACGAAAGACTATCCTTCACAAAAAAGCACTGATGCAAGTTAACTTGAATGTTAATGTTATATATCAATAACTCAAGAAATAACTAAAAAAAAAAAACTGCCCCCATTCTGCCCCTTGACAAAACTGCATTATTTTTTCCATTTTTGAGCAAACAAAATGTGCCCTGTTTTCAAAAGGAATGTTGTGCCGTCAACTATTAAAAATATTTACACATTAAAAAAATGACTAAGCATGTCAAAACTGCTACATTACCTCATTCACCGCTCCTCAGAAATGAGCACAGTACTAAGCATTAGAGGAGTGGTCATCATTAATAACGTGATTAAAAAAGCTCAGTTACTCGAAGACTTAGAAGGATGTAATCAGTGCCTGTACTTTAAGCCTCCCACAAAATGTTACGCTTTGGGAAGACGGCAGGGTTGGCATCACCAGAGAGCGAATCCTCTTTCACGCCCTGCCTGGTCGAGAGACAAACCAGGCAGATCCCTCCATTCTCCACAGCAGGCTCTTCAACTCAGAAAGGTTGTTTAAAACCTTTGAAATGAACCGTGAAACACACAAGCTGGGAAGAAAAACCCCTTTTATTGTAAGCTGTGGCTTTGCTCTTACAGCCTAACAAAAAGAAATTAAGCTTTTTTCTTTTAAAGTTAGACTTTGAATAATCAGCTTTGCTCATTAGGATAGTAGCATCTCTATGACTACGAATACAACTGACATGCTTGTAAAAGGAGTGCTTTTTTCTTTTTTTTAATCTCTGGGAGTGCCGTGTGACACACCGGTAAAGACTAAACAGATTCAAAATTGGAGTTTAGTAAAAACCACATTTTAAAGATAAAACACGGAACCCTGAAAGTCATTTAAACAAAAATAATAATGATAATAATAATAAAAAAAAAAACCCAAAACATTCCACCCTGGACAAATGCTGAGGTTCCTGACATTAAAACATCTTAAAGCATGAGCTTGAAATCAAGGGAGGCGGCGCTACAGAGTCAACTGATAAAGCTTAGAACAGAATCCCCAGGCACTTCTCAGCCGTGGAATGTATCTTTAAAATGACATCTCTATGATTATATATATATATATATATAAAAAAGGGTTTATGAATGGATGCCTGCAGTGGCGGGGGCTGTCGGTCCAGTGTCCCGCTCTCCCTTCTTGCCAACGCTTCAGTAATATCCTGGATGGTACTGCTGACTCCATGGCTTCTGGTTCCAGAACTGTGGATTAAAAATGAAGGGGTGGAGTGTGTGTGTGTGTGTTGGGGGGGGGGTCTCATATTAGTCAGTATTCTAACACAGTGTCTCTCAAACCAATCCTCAGGAACCCCTGGACAGTCAACTGGGACCTAGGTGGAAACAAAAACGTGGACTGTCTGGGGTTCCCGGAGAACCGGGTTTAGAAACACTGTTTTAGCGTGCAGACACTGTTCCTCGACAGATACCATGAGTCTAAGCATTTTTACTACATCTTACTGCTTACATCACTTTGGAAACTTCAAGTTCAGATGCTATAGCAGATAAAAGTAAAACTGAATGGTAAATAGATCTATCAAACAGGATAACAGATCATTCACCCCAGGTCATGAACGAATAAAACAGCCCAGGCACACTCCGGGCAAGGATCGGTACCGGATCATACGTACCCCTTGTTGCCAGCTCTGGTTGAAAGCCTGAGCTTTATTCATGCCGAAGTTTCCATTCTTGAAGCCACGGTTATTGCCCCCCCTGCCCCTAAACTTCTAGGAAAAATACAAAACTCATGAAGTCTCTCCGAGCGCTCAGGCTCTGTTCAATATAAAACAAATGTCTGCATTAAATATCTGGTCTTACCCTGGTTATTACTATACACAGGGATCCAGTCCTCCTTTCAGAGTGTGGCATACAGTAATGTGCGAGTCTTTAGGCATTCAAAGAAAATATTTAAATGATCTTCATGTTTGTGCAGGACTCTGATTTTATCTGTCAAAGTGCGTCAGCTTAGCCATTTCAAAACCTCTCCTAAAATCACACCAGTATATGCAGCGACTGTCCAACACACGTAGTTTTTGACTTGACCAATACCCAAGCTTGTATAGCTAATCAGCACCTCATTGACTTAATGAAGTCCAACAAGACACCAGTAACTTTTTGGAGAACAGAAAAAATCCTTATTTTTACTGTTAATTTGTATATGTTCATAGATTTAATTGCGTTTGAGGAAATATAAGCCAACTACAGTCAAACATTTTCCTTGACTTTTGAACAGTACTGTTTAGAGCCATTGCTCATGAGTTATACCAGGCAATTTTCCATACATCTCAATTCCATACTTCAACCAAAATATGCTGAAGAGACCAGCTTATACCACAGTAAAGCCAAAACAGAGCATTGTTTACAGAACAATGAAACCTGTCCTGTAACTTTCTCTATGGGGAGGGAGAGGTAAGAGTAGCAAACCAGTTCACACCCAGATTTAACCAGCATGTCCCTGTGAACGTACCTGGCTGAAGTTTCCACGGTTGGCTCCGCCCCCACGGCTCAAGTTGCCCCTCTGCATGGCCCCTCCCCTGTTCCCCATGTTGCCCCGCCCAGGTGCACCCCTGGGAGCCCCACCCTGGTTTGGCATGCCACCACTGCTGCGGTTGAAATTGCCACGGTTGGAGAAGCCCCCCCGGAATGCTGGAGGGGGCAGGAATCCCCTGGGGGGCCTGCTGAAACCACCCCGCGGTCCAGGGACTGTGGACACAATAGGTCACTTTTATTAGTTATGAGAGAAACAAGCGACGGCATTCTTGACCAAAAGATTAAATGTGTCACGAGTCATTAAACCCTCCTTCAAAGTCTGCGGCACTGTACCATTCACACTGTACCACATTCACACTGTACCATTCACACTGTACAACATTTACACTGGAGCCAACTCCACCATGGAAAACCACAAGAAGCTCCTGACCAATCAGATCTTTCGAGGTTACGGCACCATGGGAAGCTGCAGGTGGCACCTACCTCCTCGGAAGTTGCCCCGGTTTTGGAATCCGCCCCTGCCACCCCTTGGGCCGAGGCCACCGCCTCTGCTGAACTGGTTCTTGCCCCCTCGGCCTCGACTGCCCCCCCTCTTAGTGGGCGCCCCGCCTGGGTTGGGCTTTTTCTCGGGGGGGAGGGCATTCTTGCTCTCCTCCTTGTACTGCTCCAGCAGCTTCACGGCCTCGTCCTTCTGCAGCTCCACGTAGATCACCTTGTTGAAACACTCGCCCTCCTCTGGCAACGTGAAGATCCCTTTGAAGATCAGAGGGCGTGTGTGAATGTTTAAATAACAATACACCCCCACTCACCCATCACATTCCTTTGCAATAAAAGTCGACATTTAAGGATTTAAATCCAAAGTCAAAGTCAGTCCTTTTCACAGACTCAGGCTGTTCAGCTGCCCAAACTGTCTGAAGGAATAAGGCAAGGAGAAGCCAACACTGAGATGGCTTCAAGGTTTCCAGAAGTTTGCTTTGATTTAAGGTTCTTTAGACAAAGATCCAGGAGGACAGCATCCCTACCTTTCATTTTGAGGACTGCCTGTTCTGGGACGTCTTTGCCATCTGTCTCTGTCTTTTTCTGCGTCCGGTCCTTATAATCCTCGTCTGTGGGACACACCACCACCGCCTTGCGCTGGAACCCGGCGAAGAGGCACATTTTCCTTCTCTGGGCTGGAGCTGACACGTTGGTCTGGGAAGAAGAATCAAGGGCACCATCATGCTAATGAGCTGCTCTTTTAAAAAAACAAACTGATGCAAATAGATTGGTCTATGTTACTCCACTTCACAGTAACTGAATTCTGAAAATATGCAGGTTTAGGGCTAAGCAGCTACACAGTGTCTACTGTGTAAAAACACCACATCGATAATCTTTCACGGTGCTTATTTTACCGGTAAGGGGCATTGCAGGTACAGGTCTGCTCTGAAATTCCACATAATGAAAGTATCATTCATGTGATTTTGTCTTTGCGACTCCAGAACCAGCAGCAGGAACTATGGAGTCTGGCAGTGACCTTTTTTACTTACTATAAAAGTTGACAAGTACACAGGATTAAAAATTGATGCAAGTGTTATGAATATGAACGGACACCTTTGGGATCACCATTACATGCAATATTGCTTATTACATAAGTTGTCCTGTTCACTATTTTCTGAGAACTTCCAAAATGTATGGAACGACATCTTCTGTATTACCACTGAGAATCAGACACATATTGAACTGCATTATTGTAACAGAACAATTAAAACACGGCTTCCTCAAGGACAGCCATAGGACGAAAAATAATATCTTCTGTCAGTAGGACAATCAATGTGAGGTAAAAATAATCTGTCAGTAAGACTTCCTTCCTTCACAACCCTTGGTAGTTGGCAGAAGGCTCTGCTGACGAATTAATTTGGCTTGAATTAATTTTACCTGCATTATCATTAAAGTAGTACTTCAACCGAGAGATGTATGCAAGAAACTATTTAAAAATGTCACAGATGAGGTAATACCATGTGTAAAACACATGGGGGGATTAAACATTTACCTGGTCAAGTATGTAGTTCCTTTTCTTGCGAGCCGCAATCTCGATGAACTTGCCAAGAAAGAGAGGAGCACGCTGGGAGACGGCCTGCAGCTTGGTGGTGTCCTTCATCTGTCGCTTCAAGCTAGCAATCTGCATGCAAAATCAAGCTCGCTGAATAGCTGTCCTTCCAAAAAGGGCAGCATTCAAAGGATTCAAATTCCCATAAGGATATTTATTACAGTTTTGAAAATTACTAAATATTTTAATTTGAATACAACACATTTGAATTTGTTTCTAAAGTTATGCTGACCGTCTCAGTTCACGTCGTACCCTCTTCTTGCCATACCATAGTAGACTAAAGCTACAGATTGGGCACCAAAAAAATTGCCATTTTCAAAATTCTATGCATTGTCCTACTATAACCTTGAACAAGCTACCTACCCTGAACTGTTTCTGTAGAAAATGTCGTGCACGCATGGATATTGTACAAGTAAACACACTTGGTAGGAAACAAACAATACCATCATTTTCTCCAGGATGGTGTTGGTGCCCAGGATGTTGTACTTTCCGGGGTTCTCCTCTGTGTGCTTGGTGACCCAGGTGGTCTTCCCTACCCCTGGCAGACCCACCATAACTATAACCTGCAAAGGCACCGGAGCGGAGATGAGCACTCGAGCCATGAAATCAGCTGAAAGCAGCCACTGTCAGAACCCTGCGTCCGGCTTCACCCGTCTACCAGTGAAATCACTCCTATCTGACCCCATCTGGGATTCAGACCAAGGACCATCTGATCACAGGCACAGCACTTCAGCCGGCAGAGCCACACCCTGCGTCCGGATACTAAAACAGGTTTTTAAACTGCTTCCCTCAATTTCACCCATTTACTGAGATTAATCATTTATATTTTGGAAAACTTCAGTTCATCTTCAGACATTCGGGGGAAAACTCAAGTCAATGGTGGTCAAAATACACACAGTCCAAAGCTTCTATGTGACTGAATGAATTCTGGGCTTGACATAGATGTGTGACCTCCGCAGCCTCCTCACCTCACATTCCTCCTTGCTGTCGGGCCCCTTGGGCCCCCGCACTCGCTCCTCCACTGCGATCTGCTGTAGAAAGGTGAAGCCCTCCATTGGAGGGTAGTATGGAGTCTCCCTCTGGCCGAAGTTGAACTCCACGGCGCAGTTGTGGCAGAGGACGTGGGGGAAGAGGGGTCGCCCAGCCAGGGAGGCCTTGCTGACCCGGAAGGCCACGCCCAGGTCCTTGCCGTTTTTGGAGTAGGACAACTCAACCTCGTCTTTCTCAAAGTTCTGAAACACACCCGACAGGCATCCATGAGATCTATTCCAAAAGCTCTTAAAGAGTAATGAGGGTCGGGCAGGTAAGGAAGCCGGCGAGGAAGGCTGACCGCAAAGCAGCCGATGACGTCATTCTCGTCATAGCTGTCCGAATAGTCTTCAGTCACACAGTTGGTGGTTTTCTTCCCTTTCACTGAATAAGCATAGGAGTGCTCCTGTTCACCTTAATCACAAACACAACCAACGATGTTACTAAGCCTGTATCACAAATGATTTAGACACATCATTTAACTCTGTCTTTGGACTGCAGCAGGAAACTGGAGCGGCTAGAGGAAACCCACATCAGAACATGCGAGCACGAACACGCACACACACGCGCACGCACAGCTACCCCCTAAGCCTTCTTATTGCCTGTTCTCCTCAATTCAGTTTAAAGCCAAGTCCTTTGCTGACAAGTTAATAGCAATTTGTTTATTGATGTAATACTAGGAATTTTCGCCTGGCTTAGACCTGCGTGTCATCAAAAACCATCAATCACCGCCAAACCGAACGCCATGTAGCACCAGACCTTAGTTTCAGCTTACCCAAGAATACCAACACAAATGCATCATCATAAAACTAACAAAGATATTACTTTTATAAAATATCCCCACTATCCGAAGGACGAGAAGCTGGAAAATGAATGCATATCATAGGCATGTGTACTACATCAGTGTTTTTCCACCCAGTCCTCATGGATCACCAGACAGTTTGCATGTTTTGCTCCCTCCCAGCTCCAAGCACTGTGCAGGCATTTGTTAACGAAAGAGCGTTTATAAAGTCATGTAGTCAGTCTCCTTTCAAAAGAAACACAAATCTACAAAACCTGACAACACTCACCGAGGAGAAGACTGCTGTTGGCTAAAGACCAACCCACCAGGACGTCATGGATGTCGATACCCTTGCTGGAGATGTGCTTCACCGCTATCTTTTCAATGATCTGTGCAAGCAAACAGGGACAGATCTGAAGGGTGCGGAGGAGAGCAGAGATGCACATGGGGGGGCAAACAGGGACAGATCTGAAGGGTGCGGAGGAGCACGTACCTTCATCTCGAAGCAAGCCTTGCCATTGGACACGCCGTATGTGACCTTGCCCCCAGCCCACAGGTAAGCAAAACTCTCCATGGTGAGAGAAGAGGCACTGTAACGGTCACGTGACACTTTGAAGTGCAGGTCACTGTTGTCTGGATATAAAATTACAAATGCTTCAATTAAATGGATGATTTATATGGTTGGCTCTGCATTTTGAGTTTAAAACAACATTAAAAGGCACAGTAGCGTAAACATAGCCAAATAAAAGCATTTTGGTAGACATCGCTTCAATCACATACAACATACAGCTAAGGGTCAACCAGTCCCTGGAGCCATTGGCGGTAAAGGGCTTTGCTCGAGGGTTCAATGGCAAAAATCATTCCTCTGGCCACAGGATTTGAACCCGCGACCTTCTGATCACAGACACAGAGACCATACCTGCAGATCCACACTGTTTTTAAAGCTCAGATTGTAAAAACCATCTCTAGAAAAACAAAGGTGTTTGCTAAGGTGCCATAATTTAACTGGAGTAAAATTCCGGTGCTCCATCTGTGCAGTTCCACTGCAGTACCTCCGGCTCAGCGGAGATGTTCCTCAGCCCTCAGAACCCTGCTGCTCCTGCCTCAGAGATTCACATTCCTTGTCACTGCACTCTCTCTCATTCTGCGAATCATCTGGCTCCATATGGGGAAAGACTGCCAGCTGTTGGGCAGTGAACCTTCACCAGCGGAAACCAGGTCGCTCACATGTGTCTGACAGGCTTAATGTAATTGCATGTTCCAGGCAGCAGATGAACAAACCCCAGCTGGGTCCCCTCCTCCCCTGGCAGAGAGCAGCCAATTTAACGCATTCTCCACCTCCTCTCCCGTCTCGTTAACAGTGACCTGTCTACATCCTCTATGACGAATCGCTAGTAGCAACACCTCATACTGCCAAGACGCACCAACAATCTTGACAGGATAAAAGAAAGCGTGCATTAACAGTCCCAAAACCAAATACCTAACTCACCAGCATACGATCAATTTCATCTGCAACTTAGAAAACTCACACGTGTCGAGACAGACCGTGGTGTCGTCGAACTCTTCGTCCTCTTCCTCCAGGGGGGGCTGTGGAGACTTAGCCCTGAAAGAGAACATGGGAACATGCAGGTCAGCTCCAAAACAGGCTTCCAAATTCAGGGCACAGCCACAAGCACCATGGACGCGAAACCTTCAGGCTACTTCCACCAAGAGACCGGAAGAACAAAAAAAAAATTATAAATAAGTCAATGAATTAAAATGGAGGACAGTCCAAGGCAAAGAATGCAGCTTCTCCTCAGGCAGCCCCTTAAAAATGAATATGCCATCTGTGGAAGTATTTTAAGGAGTTTTATTAAAAAGCCAGCCCTAAGGAGACAGGGAATCCGAGAAAGGTTCCTCCTCCTCAGATGTAGTTAGCTCAGACGCATGCTGTTCAGAGATAAATATATCTACACAGGGGGTGCATTCTAGTAAAAGGTCAAGACGCAAGCGAAGGACTTTTCAGTTAATCGTGTTGGTAGCAGAGCGTCAAAACAAAGCGAAGCCAGTCAAAATCGATAAACAATGAACCAGCTTTGGTTTCTTTTTTGTGAAGAACGCTTGCTACCAACAATTTAGGGTAGAAGAATTACACAACCGACCGTGCTCATTTTAAAGAATCTTGATGACCAATAGCTACAGGATAACTTCTGGCCATTATACACAGCTTTGGTCGAGAAGGAATGCATCTAGAGGTACTAAAATATTTAATACTGATGTCCAGCACCACCCATTTGAACATTTGAAACCGTAAAGGAAACATTTTAATGTGTCAGTTGAGCAATAATTCTCAATGACACAAACTTTCCTGGCCGTTTTTTGCAAATCCCATGCACCAACTACCGCATGGACTGGGGAGACTGGGACCTCGTCCTGGAACCAGGCCTGGGCTGGGAGCTTGAAGGTCAGCACCTGGGGGCCTGGCTACAGCAATACATACAAATGTAATCAGCTGGCACATTCCCTTTTTATCCAGCACATATATTGACAAAGGCTGCATTTTCAGTCCTGGTCAACAGCTACAGCTGTTTAAGCCCCATGTAGGATTATGAACAACTAGTCACATCAAACACCATCTTTATTCTTAGAAAATGAATAAACATAATTTCTCATCAGTTCTCTCTTTTACTTCGCAAAAGGAGTATAAAATATTTATGACAAATGACAATATCTAAAACAGCTATGCATGACCACGTGATGCAGTCGCTTTAAAATATTTTTGTTTTTAATAAGTCACAGCTCTGCTAATCTGTCGCCTCACTTTTAGCATCTATCAGCCCATAAATGGACCAAATTAACCAGCATGTGTATTTTAAACCCCGAGGTATATTTCACTCCTAGCTTTGGCTGAGTCTGCTGGTCGTCTCCATGCTCCGAAAGACCCGCCATACTGGTATTTGTACCATTATTCCTACATTACCCGCTCCGAAAGACCCGTCATACTGGTATTTGTACCATTATTCCTACAGTACCCCAGCACACCACAAGACCAGGAAAAATTGCCAAATCTATACGTTTTTGAAAAGACTAGCCTGCTTTGCAATGAGTACTGATGTCTCTATACGGCTATAGAACCATTAAGCGTAAAAGTGTACCAAATAATCCAGCACTAAACTGACAGATGGATATGCCCAGGGAAGCCTCAAGCATCCTCACTGACTCATCGGCTGAGGTCACCGACCAGTAGGGTATGAATGCGACAGCGCGGAGCTGAAGCTGGGAAAAAAAACAACAAAAAACAAACACTGAAGCCAGCACCAGCCTTCACTATTCATTTGCAAACAAACCTTCCACAGCCTTTTGGCATAATTTTCTCCAATACAAAAAGTGTCACTTAAAGCCACTATCATCTGATAACCCTACAGCAAGATCTACATACAGGCGTGCAATGCAGCAGTGAGTAGAAGCACAAAGAGGCCACTGAAACTGCTCTCAATTCCCGATGGTCCCTATTTAAAGTCATAGCCAAAGGAAAAGAGGTAACCAACACAAACGTTCCTTTTACCGAGAACCACTTTTTCGATTAAAGTACTACTTAAAATGCATTTCCTACTGAGAATGTGCAGTAGAATTAACTTCAGGATGATGCCTGTGTTTACAGTGACAGAGGGGCAGATTGAGATGTTTTCCTTTTATTTCAAATGAAGATAAATAAGCCTGTAGAATTTTAGAAATGTATACCTTTGCATAAAATTGACCTTTATGGCCATTTAAAGTCTCAACATTACATTAAAAAACAACTATGTTTCATTCAACAAAGCTGTTGTAACAGACCAATAAACATCACTGTAACAGACATGCATACAGATTACACATTTGACAAAAATTACTTGGTACCCAGGCTTGATGAAAGTATATGTTTTTGACATACTGTAAACAAGCGAAACACTTTTTAAAATACCGTTTTATCAGCTCTGCATTAATATACAGTACTGTGCAAAAGTCTTAGTCAAAAAAAAATGTTTCAAGCTATTTATCTGGGTAGTAAAAGCTATTTATCTGGGTAGTAAGTGCACATTTGCTCAGAATAAAAACCACAATTTAACATTAGAACATATTTGAATTAAGAGTAACATAATAAAAACAAATTTTTCTTCTGTTCTCCAAAAAGTCAGTGGAATCCTGTTGGATGGCTAGATGAACACCGATTTGGTTTCCAAACCTCTCCTCAGGGGCACCTCAGTCGTTCCATGTATTTGTCAAATTTCACCACCAGCTCACTTAATTAACTTAATTAGTTAAAAAAAAAACAAAATCAATGGGATATTGATTAGCTATTCGAGGTGTGTTAGTGGCCAAGCCAAAAAATACATGAGTGTACTAGACGGTTTCTGCGAATACTGGGGTGATTTTAGCAGAAGTTCTGAAATGACTAAGCTAACATTTTGACAGGAATAACAACATTTACAACAGTTTTAAATCAGCATAAAGATCATTTAAACATTTTCTTTGGCTGCCTAAAGCTTAGCTTGTGCACAGTACTGCATATGGCATATTTGTTGGATGACATGATGTTGAACACCAATCTATTGGCAGGGAGATTATATGGGGTCATTTGAAGAATAACCAATCATAGCTGGACACATCACAAATTTGACTTCTTACAAAAAAGCCACAGCAACCATGAACACTTGAAGTAACACACTTGGAACAGTAACAAAAAACAGCAGCTGTTGAATGAAAATATTCCTGCCAAATAGAATAGACTTTAACACACACGCAAGGGGCATCACACAGAACAACAGGGATGGATAGAAATTGGCTGTAAACACAAAAGAGAGGGTCTGAAAAAACAAAACGCCAAACTGCAAGGAGGAGGAAACTGTCACCTTTGGCTGATGAAAATTAAATCATCCGAACACACGCACTTTAAATCAAGCACGTCCAACATCACAGTCCCACTAGCCGACATGAACACCCCCCCCAAACCAGCACACTCCTCACACAGAAATCGCACACGTCCTCCCTGCCACAGCCTAACCCTGACACACTAAACGCCCACGTCGAAAGCTCACCTACCACTCACATCGGTGACCTGAAAGGCTCACGCTGCACCGCTTAATCCTAGCAACTGCGGTCTGATATTATAAAATTAAAATGTGTGTTTCTTTGCACTTTTCAAAAGAAGTCCTGGCAAACTGGCAAGATAAGAAGCATTGGCGCTCTTAATATGCCAATACGGTTTGGTGAGAAGCCTCTGGCAGTGGCACTTCAGGGACACCAAAGGCCAGACTGTCCCATCCTTACCGGCTGTATTTGCTTTCTTCAATAAATTCAAAGTAGCCCCTTCCATGTTCCTCTCGGCGTCTCTTAACACCCTTCTTATTCTTCTGTTCAGCTTTCTTGTCTTTGTCCGCATCCCCTTTGGAAATAAAACAAAGATAATCAGGTGTTCCTCCATGATGGACCCCCTTCTTTAACATGGTGGTCCACACAGTGGCTGAATGGGGTCTGATGAGTCTCACCCATTGAGTTACAATGCATGGTTGACTGGAAGATTACACAAAACGTCTGAACAGAATGGTTGTCTCTCGCTCATATATATAATTTTTTTTTGCATAAACAAAAAGAAAGAGCACTTGATCATATCCATGCTGGTCTGGGTGCATCTGCAGAGGAAGAGTAAAATCCCATAATATTCACAGTGTTAAGATGGTTCTTACTACGCCGGCGGTATGTAATAGGTTCTCAGTCCTTATATACGCCGTGCGTGAAGCAACACACATTTTTTTGCCCTCCCTCCTATGATCTGAATGAAGGTCAATGTCACTACACACCTCAAGGCACCTCTGAGCATCTCAGTCTGCACACAAGATCTCCAAAGCAATGATGGGCTGCATTCACTACACGACACCCACCCAACACCCCCAAATGGCACCGTTAATTCACGAGGAAAGCAAGACGGATCCTCCTGACAAGGAGCAACGCAAAAATAGACAGGAGAGAAATGTGCAAATAAATGACCGATTTAAATAAAACAACTTAAAAATCCTATCGATCATAAAATACCCAGTATAACCGATATGGACGCTCGCCATCCGAAACAATGGAGTCAACATGCCGCCTGGTCGCGCTAAGAGGACACACCATGTCACTGCTGTTCACGACAAAATATAGGCATGTAACCGCACAGGGACCCGGGCCAAACGCCCGCTGCCACACGTCAGATCACGTACGGTATCCTCTTCGGAAATTAACCAAGCTTCCTCAAATCCAGCATCGAGACTACGGAGAAAAAACACACCACCACATCTGAATCTGCCGCCCCCCCGAAGCACAGACTGGCGATTCACCAGCCAGATCAAACCACAAAAACACGTTTAAAGCGGCGACTCACCCTCCGCCGACTGCGATCCCAGCGCGCCGTCGTCCTCCTCAAATTTATCCATTTCCTCGTCGTCTTTCAGGATCGCATCGTCGTCTTCGTCATATTTATCCATCTCCACACCGGCATCTTCCTCCTCCTCCTCTTCCCCCATCTCGTCGTCCTGCTGCCCGCTGGCCCCGGCGTCGCCGGCCCCGGCCGGAGCGCTGTCATCGGGATCCACCTCACCGCCGTCCCCATCCTCTTCCTCGTCGGCCTCCATGCTCTCTCCCACCAGATCATCCTCTAGGTCCTCCTCGCCCATGTCATTTAGGCCACCCGCTTCGTCGCAGCCGCCCTCTGCGCCATTTTCCTCCGACTCCGGTCCGGTAAAGGAGCCTCCGGCTTGGGCCTCCAGATCAAGAGCGGCCTGCAGCCGGTCCATCAGCTCGGCCTTAAGCCCCTTGTCTGAAAGCTGCCGCTTCTTAAGCTCGTCCTTCAGCTCGTTTACCTTCAGCTTTTTCACGTTGATCGAACTCATGTTTACGGCTTTACCTTGATTAGATATTCTCCGTAATAACAGTAAATGTCTGAATCCCAACAATTCTTAAAATTCAGAAATCAGAGACGGGGGGAAAGGTCCGTCGCCAGACGATGCAGCTGAAGACAAGCACAGAGAGCCGCTTAGAAATGTTACTGCGCCAAAACAATGCCTCCCCTGCGCGTTTCTTTCTCTCGACGGCTGGCAACAGCACAGTTGCGAAACCGCCAGTTGCAAGTAATATACCGCTACCGTAAGTCACAGAAAAGCAGCGAACTCCCGGGTTCGCGATACCGTAATACTACATAAATAGGGAACATGGATTTCACATACAAATTACGCATTCATGATTCATCAATCCATCTTCCAACCGCTTATCAGAGTAAAGTTAGCGGGACTTAAATTATCATCTGAAAAACAGACTTACTGAATGTATAGCTTATTTATTTATTTAACATAATGCGAGCTACTGTAAATATAAATGTTGTAAATAGCATGCAAGTTCACTAGAACATAAAAAATTAAACGAGGCATTTGCGATACATTCCTTAATTTAATATTCATATTTGTAAAGGGCAACATAAATTCGTTGTTGTTGAAATACGAAGGGATATGAGTAATTAAAATGGTTAAAATTGTAATAAGCATATTGCATACATTCAGTACATTAATTTGCAGGAAAAACATAATAATTGCAATAATTTTCAGGAAGGAGGAGGCAATTCCTGTTTAAAAACATAGATGAGAGCTAAAGTCATGATGGGCTACGCGAAAAGATGTATTCCAATGCAGGTCCTACCTATACTTGTGCAAATTGAAAATAAAGCGTCATTTTTTGTTTATTTCTTTACATGAAATAAAGTGTACTCATTAAATGCAGAGGACACATTTTGTTGTTGTGGACTGTGTGCTGTGGTGTGTCAACAATGACCACTGATCACCGAATTTTAAATTATAAAATTTGTGTCGCTTTGACTTCTGAAAGCCGTTGCCTAGCAACAACAGACACCAAACATGGCAGAAGAGAGGGATAGCGCAGGTAATGTGGCGGTCGTTTTCCGAAGTTTCCAAAAGATCTTCGAGTTTCTTTTGGGATACTTTTATAAGTTACAATTGTGCTTATAAGTTAAATTCTTAACTTGTTGTAATGATTTACTCTTTGAGGGCGGTTAGCACTGTTGCCTCACACAAGGGTTCGAGTCTCCGTCAGGGTTCCGTGTGTGAGTTTGCATGTTCTCCCCGTTTCGTCGTGGGGTTTCCTTCGGGTCCCCAAAGTGAGGTGGAACTTCTTTACTTTTGAGGACATTTTTCAGGTCCTCATTTGCATTACCTCAATTTTATAAAGATCAGTGAATGCAATAAAAATGTCAAAAGTCTTGTATTTTGTTTGGTTATTTATGGATAAGGTTAGGGCTGCGTAGGGGTTAAGGGTGTCCTTATTGGGATTAGGGTTTTCCCCATAGAAATGAATGGAGAATTCCCACACAAAGATGTGAATACAAACGTGTATGTTTGTATGGATTAGGTTTATATTACTTAGTGGGGACCAAATGTCCCCCACAATGTAATAAAAACCTGCGAATGCAATCAAAAACTAAAAATGCCAAAAGTGTTATATTTTATTTGCCTACTTATGGTTAAGGTTAGGGCTGGGTTAGGGCTCTCATGTTGGGATTAGAGTTTTCCCCATAGAAATGAATGGAGAGTCCTCACAAAGATATAATTACAACCCCGTGTGTGTGTGTGTGTGTGTGTGTGTGTGCATGTATCAGTGAACGGTGTGTGAGTGTGATGCGATGGGGTGGCGCCCCATCCTGGGTAGTTCCGTGCCTTGCGCCCGTCGCCTCCGCTATCGGCTCCGGACCCCCGGCGACCATGAATAGGACAAGCGGTGAATTTACTCTGTGTGTCATGGGTTAAACCATAGTTTGTTTACTGTACATGTTGCATTGTTTCAGAAGCCCTAGTGTCTGAAATCCACAAAAAAATCACCGACGCCTTTGAAGTCTTTGATCATGAGTTTAACAAGACAGTTGACATCAGGTGAGATACAAATAAGCAGGAAATGATCGCTGAATTGTTTGGATATAGTGAGATGTGACTTTTCCGATATACTGAAATCTGGCTATATTTTAGCATATATCCAAAGTATTAATATATCACAGGCTAGTTGCTGTTTATAGTATAACATATCTTTATTTTAGCTATAGGACCCTGCCGCTTATGGTATTTGATAGAGCTACTAATTCATCAACATACAGGTACAAACGTTTACACTTGGATTAAAATGGAATATGAAAATGATGTAATACTGGGCAATGTTTGATGTTTTTGACAGAGAAATTGGTACGATTATACGGTCACTGGGATGCTTTCCTTCGGAGGGGGAATTGCATGATATAATTGCGGAGGTAAGACGCGACCAGCGGTTAATTATGCAACACGAAAAAAAAGCTGTCACGATAAAAAAGATATACTGTAGGTATAAGGTATAGTGCATTATCTTAGCATCTAGAGTTTGTAAAGTACGCGCAACTACATGTTGGATTGTGGGAATAAAGCAGAGTACCCAGAGGAAACGTGGTCAACACCTGCCAACTCCACAAATGCAGAATAGGGATGAGAGTCAGAGTCTGGATGTCTGACGAAACGATGCAAGACACTGGACTACTGAGCACCCTAACACCATAGCACGTTATACCATACAGTACGTGTTAATAGTTAAATATTATTTGTCAATGTAGGATGGATATGGGTGTGTGTATGTGTCTGTCTCATTTTATGCAGGTTGGCAGGTGACTAGTTAGCAGGCTCACCAATTCAGTGTGTGTGAGGACCATTTTGGGGAGGGGGTGGGTGTTCTGGGACTCTAGGGATTCTGGGAGCCTACATATGGTCTCCAGTAATCAGATGCATACATGTATATATTGTGCATATTTGCCGTGGTATTTTGAAATCTTGATGACAAAATTAGCCCTGGGGGGTAGAGGGTGGGAGGTGGTCCCCATATCAAATTTGCGTCTCGACAAATGGTATCTCAGGAGACCCTCCGCTTGGCTAAGACAAGCGACTAGCGTCTCATTTAAAAATACTGTCAAGGCATTTGGGCAGCCTGTCGTGAATGAGAATGTCTGATAGAGAAACGCCTGTATCAAATGGAAATTGCTTTTAAACATGCTCTCTGATTCCATCATTCAGTGGTGTTTCTAGCTTATATGGCACTCTGGGCAAATCCCCCCCTACAGCACCCCCCGCCAACAAAAATCATGTGTCCATCTCCCCCTCCCCATCTGATACTTCTGAGTAGTAGCCTGCTTAAGGCTCTCACTGACCTGCATGGTGACATTATAACATTGACATGACGTGCAAATGAAGGGTACGAATCCAGTGGCACAAATGTCACCATACAGATTTTTTCGTTTGTGGGTGCCCCATGCCACCACTGGCAAAATGCTGCCCTGGGCGAGTGCCCGCGTTGCCCGCACCTAAATCCGCCAGGGCCATCGTGTGAGACTAGCCGGCTATAACACTTACCCTTTGTTTCTTGTATATTCATTATTTCTGATTGATGGACAAACGCAGAACTACGCTGACAGCCAATTAAGATAGAAATAAAAATAAACAGCTTTAATATATATTATATTTTGCTTCAAAATAAAATATTTGCTGCAATAGTCACCAGTATTGTTTTCAGCCCTAGAAGTATGTGCAGAGAGAGACACGCTGATTATAAATGGATAGTTTAGACAGCCATTAATTCATGTTCTTATTATTATGATGGTTTCAAGATAAGATGGATTGCTGAGCAAAAACACTGAATGAATAGGACATTGTTTCCTGTTTAAATCTGAATGAGCTATTTAGCTTGTTTTTGATTGAACATTGACTTAGACTGATGTGTTCACTTTTTTTTAATTTGGGGACTTTGGTGATACAACAGGCTGTTGGAAAATATGAAATATCCTATTAAACAGAGCTAAGCTGTGGATCCAGTTATCCTGGACTTAGTCTATCATAATAACAAGTATTCATGTCTGAAAAAGACATAAATTCTATAACCCTAACCCTAATCCTAACCCTAACCCTAACCCTAACCCTAACTTCAGCAGGATAACCCTAATTTGGGGACTTAAGAACATAAGAAATTTACAAACGAGAGGAGGCCATTCGGCCCATCAAGCTTGTTTGCGGAGAACGTAACTAATAGCTCAGAGTCGTTAAAATCTCATCTAGCTCTGATTTAAAGGAACCCAAGGTTTTAGCTTCCGCTACACTAACAGGAAGACTATTCCATACTCTAACTACACGCTGTGTAAAGAAGTGTTTCCTCAAATCCATTTTAAAATGTTCTCACGCTAATTTCCACTTATGGCCACAAGTTCTAGTATTTAAACTAATAGTGAAATAGCCATTTGGCTGAAGAGCATCCAGACCTGTTAGAATCCTATAGACCCCCTCTGTCTCCTTTGCTCAAGGCTAAACAGATTCAGCTCAGCTAACCTCTCCTCATAAGACATTCCTCTAAGACCAGGAATCATTCTCGTAGCCCTACGTTGCACCCTTTCTAAAGCAACAATGTCCTTCTTAAGGTATGGTAACCAAACCTGCACACAATATTCTAGGCGGGGTCTTAGGAACTTTGGATGACATAACAGGCTGTTGGAAAGTATGAAATATGGTATTAAATTGAGCTAAACAGCGTGTCTTTTAATCACTGTGTAGGTTGAGGAAGAGGAGCCCACTGGCTATATACACTTCGAGAAGTTTCTCCCAGTGATGACAAAGGTTTTAATGGAACGCAAGTGAGTACTGGTGCTTGACTACAGTAAATGGAGTTTCCCGAATTGAAAGAAATTAATTCCTAAGATGACATTAATATAGCTCATTCGATTGGTCCCATAAAGTTACAACTGGCAAAAGACACAGCGCAAGCAAACCACAGAAGAATCCCCATACATGTCCTGCTAGTGCGTTCTCCCTTCCCATCCAAAATAATAAAAGCTACTTAAAACATAAGTACTCACATCAGAAGGTCTGATGACATTTAAACACAACCAAGGGATCAAGAAATGCATGTCAACCAAAGTCACTTACTGAAAAAAACCTGAATCGTAGCTAGAAGACAGAAGACTGGCCTTGATTGGTTGCGTTTTGAGGTGGGCCAGTCAGATTTGCTTGCTAGGACGTAGATCCAACCTTTGTTGTATGGATTGGGAAGTGTGCATATGAGGTGAATTGGAAGCATTTGAGTAGTTGCTGAATGAGTAAATATTACAATGTACTTGTTGCTTATGGCTCATAAAACATAATAAAAAATCTGCAGTGACAAAGCAAGAGAGAAGTATATTGTTCAAATGCAATGCCTATTAATGACAGTGACTAGAGGTACAACAGCAAGGTAGCAGGTGAATTGTATTGGCATTTCGATGGTCTTAACCGAATTAAAAAAAACCTTTACAGATAACTTATTTCCACAATTCCGCTATTTTTATTTAAGTGTTTATAACCAGTTTATTATTCGTTCTGGAATTAAAGTAGCTATTTCCGAATATAACAGATATAGAGTTCAGATATAGAATACTGTAGAGTTCAGTAAAATCGTATGATGGCAGTGTTCTTTGTGTTAAATTCTGCAATAATTTGTGTTTCTTCCATTGCTGGCTGATACCGTCAGGCACCTGACGACGCCAGCGAGATCATTTGCAAAGTGTTTTCACAAGGATGTCTAACTGAGAAACAACACAGTGCAGAGCATAGCAAAGTACACACTTCTGAAAATAGGACCCGTCATTTGATGGAGTCTGTACACCACACTTAGTTACTACACATTCATGCTAGTGCTTTGTTGTGGGCCAGCTGTTGCTCTAACCTATCAACCTGAAATCTTTGTGTTCCCTTATCATTCACATGTTTCTCTTAATGTTCATTCATATTTCATGAATATTTATTGATATTCTATTCCACTCCATTAGGATGCCATCATTTACTTACTAAGGAGAATACATGATATTTCAGAAGCCAGTAGCAATATTTCACATTATTTCAGAATAAGTTTTTTATCATGTGTTGCTGTTGCTATGAAAACAGTTACCTGGCAACACTTGTACCTTATTTTTGGAGCGCAGGGATCACATGGAAACTTGTTTATCCCTAATGGGAGGTGAGAAAGCAGAAGACAGTGGTGGAGATGGGACAGTGCACAGATTTCATGAACAGCTGAATGTTGCTTCAGGCCGCTTATGCTCTCGGACACTTCTTCACCTTGAATTGATTGGTCCTCTGAGGATTATGTAAAAAAAATCTTGCTTTTAAATCTTTGAAAAAAGCTGACCTTTTAAAAACGTCCCCATAGTGGGCCGTCCATTTGCGGACATAGCAGTCATAATAGATTGCAAAGGTTTCCACTTGAGTTTGCATTCATATGCAGGTATGTGAGAGCATTTCATGGGGGAGAGTAATGCAGCTGCAAAGCATTGAAAGGTGTAGCAGGTCTTTGCATTTTCAGTCTTTGATACGAAGTTCAAACGTGATTTTGTTACCTTCAGAGTAGCACCCTTCCAAGAAATTGAAAGTATGAGGAAAAAGTCAGGTGTCATTATATGTACTTGACAGGTAGGTTGTAGATTGTACGAATTCATAGAACTAGTAAGGTGAGTTGCTTTCACGGAAGATTAAAGTTCGAAGGTGAACTTATTTTTATCTTTAGTAGCCGATATAATAATTCCTTCGGGGAACCAAAAAAATATCAGTTTGGGGCCTGAAACCAGCTGTTCATGTTTTTAATGTGCAAAGGTAAAATATGGTTGCTTGAAGCTAAGCAGGGTCTAAAGTGACTGTTAACCACATTAAATTGTATTTTGATTATTGTGAAAAATTCTGCATGTATTGTGGTCCTAGTCTTCTAGATTACAGAATGAAATATGCATATATATATATATACATGTATATATATATATACACACAAGTGCAGTAAGTTGTTTGATAAATAAGAACAACGTATGTGATTAATGTTTGGTTTGATTCCTATTATCGATCTATTAATTATTCTAGTGTTGCTTATTGCTTATTTAATGCAATTCAATCACTTTCATGAGGAGGAGAGTGCAATGAACTTGTGTGCAGAGAATATTTTTAAAAGGAAGAAACACAGAACTTTACAGAATCATCTTCTGCAGGTTTTGTCCCATCCCTGAACATCTTCTCATGCAAGCCTTTGAGGTAAGTCCTCCAGGACAAATCCTGAAAAATAACATAACAAATATTAATATTCTTCTCTAACAGCTTCTCTTGATCAACTTTGACCAAATTACATGCATCATGTAAACTTAAGCACTGTACATTACTGTAAGTTACTTCTTAATAGGTTTTGGATCAGCAAAAGAAAGGCTTCTTGGAACCTGAGGAACTTAAAAAACATCTAACTCAAGAAGGTAAAATGAATTTTCCTTGGTCCAGGTGATGATTGCAGTTGTCCACGCCAGAGTTTATTTAATAATATTTAATAATAGTCTCCCAATTGGGCCTGTTTTGTAGTAAGAGATTATTTAGTTTTGTGTGAAGTTCCCAGTTTAAATGCGTATGGAAGCATGTGTACTGTATATAAACTGGCCCTTGAAAGAAAGAATAGATAACCCTTTATGTAACAATTCTTTCAGCTCCAAAGTACATAAACTTCATGCCAAATGATGTTATGGAATGAACCCTTTACCTGCCTGCCATACTAAGGAACCTTGTGTCATTCCTAAATTTTCCATTTTTGTAAAAAATAAAATACAATTTGTGTTTTTCTCTTTGATGAACTGGTAAAGAAGAAGGGATGGACATTGAAAGGTTATAAATTTAGTACCTTCTGTATAAAAATACTAATTTACTGCTCAGAATGAATTACGTCAAATTGACTCGTCATTTTGTCTCCCCCTTGTGGTAATTCACTCACATAATCGGGAACGGAAACCGTAAGAAGCGTAGTGAATGAATTTTCTTGTAATATACTAATTTTGAAACATTTCGTTTTGCACCATATTTTAGGAGAGCCCTTCACCCGGGAGGAGATGGAGGAAATGTTTTCTGCTGCCCTGGATCCTGACAAAAACGTTATATTCTACAAAGACTTTGTTAGCATGATGACTATTGAGGAAACATAGCTACAGATTCTTCACTCTTATTGTGCAACAACAGCAGCGGATGACGAGGAACGCATGCATGTCTCCTGAGAAAGCAGAAATACAATTTTTAACCGACACAACACGCCTTTCGATTTATGTCCATTCAGAAAACAGGTTTTTACCACATTGTTGGGTACATTTGGTCCCCACAATGTAGTATAAACATAATCCACACACATACAGTGCTTGAAGCGGGCCGGTACCTTTTTGTTTTTCTCTAACTTCAATGTTGTACCGGGGAAGTTTTTTTTTGCATATTAGCACCTCTCATATTCTATCGGTAGTGAAGCGAGTGAAAAGGGCACTTGTTTTTTTCACACTTCAAGCACCGACCTAACTCTGTGTGTGTGTGTGTATCCCCAGACAAATATCTGCACAGCATAACATATTTTCACTACTGAACTGATTTAAACTTAAGTTAATTTGGTCCACATGATCAACATCACTTTTCCCAGGCAGATCCAGGACTTCCACGCCGTAGGGGTAGAGATTACTGTGAAAGCATGCAGCTGTTTGTAAAGTACAAGATATGGTATTTACAGCACCAGGACAAGTGCGAGTGGTTCAAGCAAAATGCCTATTAAAAATCTACTATAACAATGTTTGTGTAATAATTCATGTTAATTGTTATAATTATCAATGATTCAGTGTGCCCTCAGCAACAGAACATATGAATATGAAATTTTGTTTTTTGATCCGACGTTGTCATATGAAGAAAATCATCGATTTTAATATCTGCACCAAAAGGTGGCGCTAGTTTCCCGTGCAAACACCTAATATCTTAAAGTAAGTTTAGCAAAGTAACGAGAACAATCGTTGAAGTTATACATGTAACTCCTTAATAGTATTAATATAGTATGCATCTTAATATTATTGACATCTATCAAAATTCTTTTCGTTCTTCAAAGGGTGACATAACGTATTAATTAAAAAATATACTTGTTAAAAGGAACATTTTACGCTCGTCAAATAGGTTACATTTGAAATAACAAGAAAGGCTAGAAATAGGAATTTAACGCTTACTTATATCTTAATTATGTTGCAAAGATGCCACGGGAACTTGAATTTGATTTCGTATTCTTCAATTTAGCTGAACTAAACCCCCACGTCACTCATTTAGATACTGCTTCCGATTGGCTGAATCGGAGAGAGGGCCGAGAAGATCCGCCCACAGGCAGATCCTTCTGTTTTTTGGGGCTTCGGTTGGAGTCGCGAAGCCTCCGGGAAGTGGCAGGTAGGCGGAGGGGCGTGCAGGGGCAGTGCCGCTACAGGGCTGCCTGTCCGACACCTCCACGGCGCGCAGCTCTCACATGCACACCGTCATTCACTGTATTTCTGGTGAGATGTTGGTTACGCGCAAACATATTTTTCCGCCAGCTAAACCAACACGCTTTTATTGTGGATTTTAAAAGTCGTGCCATTCAGAAGGAGACTGAGGATCTAATTCCTGTTCGGAAATTTGCGAAAGTAGAGCAAGTGGAATTACTATTTAAGCCGTTTTATTCATTTTTTTAACCTCCAGGGTTTCAGTTGGATGTAGGTTTTGCCTTGCATCCTTCCGTGCTTCTTCACGACTGAACTGAAGGTTGTGGGATTGACTAAAACCATTTTTTTATTGGATGTAAACAATAAAGATTTTATTTCCCCCTCTCCCTTTCCCTAACCTTCAACATGACTTCTCTTACTGGAAATAAAGACAGGTCTGTGACGACCAGAAGCCGCAAATATGGGGTACGTTTGATTCAATGATTTATTATTATTATTGTTCTTATTGTTGTTATCATCATCATCGATAAATAATATTCACTTATGAGTACAAATAAACTGTTACACATGAACAGTATTGTTCAAATGCTAAATGCCGATATATGTGTAAGGAAATGCACTTCTTTTTCAACAGATGACAGATGCTTCTCCGACCAAATCAGCCTCTTTTTCACCTGAGACGTGGTACCGCAAAGCGTACGAGGAATCCCGGTCTGGCAGTCGTCCTGCCCCCGAAGGTGCCGGCTCTGTGCCTGGTTCGTCCGGAACACCCTCACCTGGATCTGGCACTTCGTCTCCGGGGTCATTCTCGGGCTCTCCTGGTACCACGTCTCCGGGTATCGGCACAGGCTCACCGGGATCCCTCGGAGGTTCGCCAGGTTTCGGCACCGGATCACCTGGTTCGGGAAGTGGGAGCTCGCCGGGGTCTGATCGTGGAGTTTGGTGCGAGAACTGTAACGCTCGCCTGGTGGAGCTTAAACGTCAGGCGCTGAAATTGCTAATTCCCGGACCTTTCTCCGGCAAGGTAGGTGCCTCGCTGAAAACAGAAGCAACAGTTATTTGCATTTATCTTGTTTTCCATTGAAGACACATTAAACTGTATTTTACTGACTAAAACCCAAATGGCACAAAAAGTTTTATCCCCATGCGGTGTGCGCAAAATATGTTATTGTTATAGGAGACCTTGCACATTTGATTTGTTTTTTAGTCCAAACAAACTTTACCAGGTTCTTGCTTGTGAACAACGCATGACGTTATTTAGCTGCATGTGGTGAAAAAGTTTTTCACCTTTTAAACAACATGCTGTAAGATGTCTATTATATTCAGGCTACACATACACAAAACACTGACTACATATGGATCTCTGGAGTTCTGTAGGAACATTTAAGCATCCGATTAAGGTGTCCAGGAATTAAGCTACATAATATGATACTCTCATTTTATTCACAAATCTGATTTTGAGTTTACTGTAAACATTACTAAATAACAGGCATTTTCTTTTTTAATCACTAAAAATCCAGTCCATTCAACAAAGGTTGTCCAATAATTCACCAACCACACTATTTCTCGCTGATTATTCAGTCCTGTTCTGTGTACATAGGTAGAGGTTTGATATACGTTTACAAAGATCCCAGAAAGATGTATGAAACCAATTTTACCGATAAAAGATCGTTTTAAAATTGTTTATTCATTAAAAAATATATTGTAGAATAATATTTAAAATTCATAAACAAAGATTTATCGTGTACCATGTAAGGGTTTTGGGTTTTGTTAAAGGCTGAGAAACACACTGACCGCAGAAACACGATAATGAATTTCTAGCCGTGTCGTTTTTCTGTGTTATTAATAAAATACAATGCAGTAATCACAAACATCTTACACATTTTATTGTACTTCTGCTACCACCCGTACGTTGCCGTTAGTCTGTCTTTGCTGACGAATGCATTCAGGGGCGTGGGGTTAATTGGTAACAAATGGTAAAGTGTAGCCGTAACACCAATGAGGAATGGGACGGCAGAGGACAAGAAAGGAAACCGGTTAGAATAGTGCACAAGAATCGGTTTGTAAAAGGCATAGTTATAACGACGACGGGGCGCTATGGGCACTGCCTGCCTTGGAATTCCAGTTAAGGCGCTGCGTCACGAATAGCAGGCACTGCGATTGTTCGGCCAACATTTAAATGTTCGTTCACTCACCTAGACCGCTGCTTTGACCTTATTACCAGTTACTGTTGTTTTATTCAAACACTCGTTTTGACGATGATCCCGAAACACCAGATCTTGTACATGCATAGATATTCCTGTTTTTAGTATTTTATTACCCCTGGAAGAGGACTTGACTACGCACGCACCAGCGTGGGAACTGAACTGAAGAACCAGTTTTCTGATGTCAGTGCAAGATGTCCCGAAATAGTATATGATATAATTAAGGAAATATGCAAAACACCCATTGATGTCGGCATGTTTTGTGCAGAGGGTATGAACTTGCTTTTATTGAACAACACAGGAGTTCGCATAGATGAAATGTGTCACACTGTAAAAACTTTACCACATATAGCATATAGTCATATAACATATTTGTGTGAAAATCGATAAGAGCTTCCCAATGTTCGATGCTGATTGTATTTTTTTTTTTTTTTTACTGAATTAATGTTTCTTTTTCCGAACAACTGATCCTCAATCGACGTTGTCCGCCGATCGCGGCGCGCCGCGTTGCTGCATTGCAGAGTGGACAAGCCCAACCTGAAAACAGTTCGTTGCTGTACAGATAGGGGGCGTTGTGCCGCCGATTACTTCCAGTAGTTTTACATTTGCGTACATTAATAGACCGTAGAATGAAATAAGATTTAAAAAAAATAATTCAAAATGATGTAAATTTAGCTTATGTGCTTTTCGGGAGATATTCCAGAGGCGTTTACAAATAGCTAGGGAACCTAAATGTAAGTTCATTTTTCAAGAATTTCAGTAGGGCAATTATTGTAAATCAGATACCGTATCATCTTGCTTTGATTAATGAGCTGCTGCTCGATCGGTAAAGATTAGAGAAGGGGGTTTATTTAAAGTATTTTCGACGCGGGTAAGCCAGGTTTTCTCAAGTAAAACTCATGTCTTGAAAACAAAATGGTCTAGCATAGTTGTGGATCAGTTGTGAGCTATTAACTCGTGCCATAATGGGGATGGATGGATGTTAATGAAATAGCCTTTTTTGGTTTTCCTGACTCTACAAACGGAAGTGCCTTTCAATATTTTTATTTTCTCTTTGTAAGTCTGAAATAGATGCCTGTTTAATATCGGAAATCTGAAATGGTTGGGAAAAAGAACGAAGTGGTAGCTGTGCTCCCAGTCCTTGGGGGTTGCTGGAATATAAAAAAAAATTCTCAGTTGGAGGAAGTTATTTATTACTGGAGGGCAGTGAAACCTTTTTTGTTGTATAGTTACTTGCTTCGTAGACTTGTTCTATGCTTTTCTAGTAGGCGTACATTAGGAATCTGTGTGGTTTCCATATGTGTTACATGTGGCAGAATGCAGTGTGTCCCCTATGTCAGGCACATCTTGCTGGTGTTTGCATTGTAGCACGAAGGGTAATAGGTGATTGGGTCTTGCTGGGGCCAGAATGTGTCCTTCTCAGGTTGAAGAGCCTAGTTCACTGTTTCCTCAGTCTGATTTTTGGGGACTCGCCAGCAGTCCATGTTTTACTGAGGGGGAGGGAGCAAAAATGTGGACTGTCTTACAGGGAGCTGGGAGGGAGCAAAAATGTGGACTGTCTGGCAGGGAGCTCGGAGGGAGCAAAAATGTGGACTGTCTGGCAGGGAGCTGGGAGGGAGCAAAAATGTGGACTGTCTTACAGGGAGCTGGGAGGGAGCTAAAATGTGGACTGTCTGGCAGGGAGCTGGGAGGGAGCAAAAATGTGGACTGTCTTACAGGGAGTTGGGAGGGAACAAAAATGTGGACTGTCTATGGGTCCCCATGGACCGGATTGGGAAACACTGCCCTAGTTAAAAAATGGAGGCCCATACAATGATGGCATAGATGACTGTGTTGGAACTCAGTGACCTCACTTCAACCCGCACGGTGTGCCAGCGGTGATGGTATCTACAGTCAGCCTCTCGTAATTACATCAAGGCAGCCGTTCGCTGATTATCCTGAACGTTCCTGAGCCTCCTTTTACACAGTGGAGATGCTGTGCCAAGGTATCAGGTCTCTCGGATGTGTAGGGAGGGGGGCGGGGGGGTATGGGGCTCAGGTAATTATTCAAACAACATCGTTTCTGCTTTCATCACGGCAGCTTCATTTTGGCTCTGACGGAAAGATCCGGAATGCTTTCATCGTATGTAAATCATGACCTTTGGAATGCATCATTTTCCTGTACATTGGAGAAAGTATTGATTGCATGCAGAAGTAAATGACATTATTAAAACAGAGTGAGAGGTATTTTCATCTTTGCAGATTGTTTTTTTTTTTTTTGTTACCTTTGTGTTTTTCTGACCTTAATTCCAGTCCACAGATGGGGAAAAAACTCATAAAAGCACCAGGAGCAGCTTAGTATAAAACGAAATGGCCTTTTTCTTCAGGGCTTGGCAAACAGATGCTTTTTTCTTACCTCCCCCTGTGTCCCCCCCTTCCCCCCTCCATCTTAGACTTGGTTCAGCCCTGGCTCCCGTTTTGTGCATCATGTTAACCTACACCTTTTATTACAAGTCACGGCACTGGTGATGGGATCGGAATGAGAGAGTGAGGAAGACACGGGGCATGAGGGAAGGTTGGGGGGGGGTTCAGTGAAGGGGGCAGGTTTATAGAGGTACTTGGTTCTGGGGAGCAAAGCTGGCACCTTCTGCTTCTGCTGAATATATCACGCTTACCTTTTCTTTCTTAGCTTATCTGACATTATGCATCGCTTCCCTTCTCTGCCAAAGTCTCCCACATCATACCCTCTGCCACTTAAAATATATTGTCAGTTTTTCAACTCAACTTCTAAATTATAATAGTGGTGTTAATGTTTTTGATTAAATGCCGATCTGCATAAGAGTGTCATCTAGGAAACACTGTAATGGATTTTGTGGTAGAGTGCTGAATAAATACTTTAACATATTTTTGAAAATGGCATAGATATATTTGCAAAATAAAACAAGCACCAGTGTCCAGGATAAGCACCTAAACGATGGATGGTTGGAATATAATTATTACATATTTTGTAAGTTACTCCTCTTTCAAAAGAAAGGTAAATGCAATCTGCAAAATAAATTAGTGTAGGATTCCTTTAATGCCCAGTTTTGTTTGCCCAGCTAATAACGCCATACCACTGCACAGAGTCCACCCTGCAGAATGACTGGGCAACAGAAATCGCAGTGGTCAGAAATTCACTCAGATGTCGTTGAATCCCTGATGGCATGTCTTGCACCTGACAATGAAACTGGATCCCATGGAGGCTTGCAATTTTTTTAGTACCCAGGGCAGTGTAGAGAATTGCAACCTGTTTCCATTCATGCATCACAGGCTATGCTGCCACGGCCACGATACAGCACTAACGTGAAACTGATGTGATCAGCATAGATATTTCACGTTTATGTGCTCTTTATGTCTCTGAGCTGGGGAAGACATTATCATATAAAGAGGTCACTTCATCAGTATGGAGCGCTCGGTGTATGGTGGGGCTTAATGCTGATGCTAGCTGAATTCTGGGCTTCTCAAGGTCTAGATGCTGTTTATTTCTGGCTGGCATCTGCTTTGTCTCCGGGTGCTGGGGAAATGTGTCACTGGGGCAGGGTGAAAGGGTAACTCCTGGAGGAAAATGCACGCTGAAGAAGCATAAGGAACTTGATGTTACGGTAAAATCTACTCACTGCTGTCGGCCTAAGGGAGGGTTCTCTTGAATTTAAAACAGATAATTCTTGACTTACGATGGGGTTACATTCTGATCAACGCATTGTAAGTTGAAAATATTTTAGTTATGATCGTAAGTCAAATATGAACATGACATGATAAATAAATAAATAAATAGCTACTGTCACTGAATAAAAAAAGAATT